TTTTGGATCAGCCGCCGGATCAGCCACTATGGGGCGGGTGTGGTTATCCTCCTGTCATTCATTCCACGAAATGGGTGAGACGCTCATTGGAAGACGGCGCATGGCAGGGTTCAAATGAAACATGCACCATGACCTAACTCCAGCCAGCTTCTGCGATGCCCAACACAAGGTGCAATTCCTGGCCCGCAATTGCGACAACCATCTCTTGTTCCCGACTTCCATTACCCACCCGTGCCACCCTCAAAAGGCTTGTTGCAAAAGGATAAATGTATATTGCAGCGACAATTTAATACCATTTTATATACCGTGACAAGGCTTAAATCCCCCTTTTCCAATTTCCCCACCCAAGTCCACACTACCTAATCTACTTACTTCCAAACTTGAACTTACCAACGGACCCAACGACAAAACCACCCACCATCACCACCATGGCCCCCGCCCCGCACCACGTCCTCCTCCTCGGCGGCCACGGCAAGATCTCCCAGCTGCTCACCCCACTGCTGCTGCGCCGCGGCTGGGACGTTACTAGTGTCATACGCGCCCCGGAACAAGTCGCCACTATCGAGGGGCTGGCGAACGCTAGCCGTGGAGATGGGGACGCTGTCGAGGGGAAGTTGAATGTGCTGGTGCGGAGTTTGGAGGAGGTGGAGAGTGAGGGGGAGGCGAAGGATGTGGTGCAGGAGGTGGGGGCGGATTTCGTGGTTTGGAGTGCTGGTGAGTGCTTTTTTTAAGGTCTTTTTCTTTTTTTCCCCTTGCTCGGGCTTGTTTACTGGGTGACTACTGGGGACTTTTGCTGATGATAGTGTTTCTTCTACCCAGGTGCTGGTGGAAAAGGCGGACCTGACCGGGTAAGCTGCCTCTCAAGATGATGTCACTTTTTACCCGTCCATACAGATCATAATTACCCCCCAAGTGAAGTCAAAACTAAGTTCTGACCCCAGACCAACGCCATCGATCGCGACGCCGCAACTCACTTCATCCATGCCTCCACCGCCACGCCGAAGGTGACGCGGTTCCTGATGGTGTCGTATCTCGCCTCGCGGCGCGCGCGGCCGGCCTGGTGGTCCGACGACGCCTGGGCCGCGGCGGAGCACGTCAACCAGCTCATGCCGCATTACTACCGCGCCAAGCTCGCCGCCGACGAGGCCTTGTACCTGGCTGCTAAGAACCGTCCCGGGTTTGCTGCTATCAACCTCCGCCCCGGCACCCTCACCCTCGACCCTGCCGGCCCTGTGGAGCTAGGCAAGACGGTGCAATCCAGGGGCAATGTGAGCCGTGAGACCGTCGCTCGTGTGGCAGATTTGTTGTTGGCGAGTGAAGGAGTAGGGAATACGTGGCTGGATTTGGTAGGTGGGGAAGAGGATACGGAGAAGGCGGTGGAGAGGGTGGTGAGGGAGGGTGTGAATGCCGCGGAGGGGGAGGAGATCTTTTAGGTTGGGAAATGCAAGGCGCAAGGTGAGTTACATGGTCTTAGTCTAGTGTGTCGGCAACCGCTTGCGAATCGATGAAGGCCCTGGTTGTGAAAACGGGGGGGGTGAAAACCAGGGTATGTAATTACCTATATTCGCAGGTTGTATTTTCAAGCGAAGCAACATGTCTCATTATTCATCTTCAAAATTAAATACTGTCTCGTATCTATCACGTGCTATCGTGTATACACCCCGATTCCCCGCGTCCACCAGCCACCATCCACCTGACCGTAACGGACACGAAGGCGCAGATAAGAGTATAGGCACTATACGGATAAAGGTCTAAGGTTCCATATTACATGCCTGTAGGTAGTTGTGGTCTTTTGCGCACGGACTTGAAAAGAGGACCGGAAAATCACTGAGCATTTGTCCTAGCCTCGCTGTGGCCAAAAAAAGCGGAACACTAAAACAGATAACTACCTTAAGTCCATTACATTGGCATTCGATCAAACCTTAATAGATTTTGATTGATTGACTCTTTTTTTTGTCGTCCCGGACTTTTTCGAATTATGCTTTTGTGTCTTCTTTCATTTTTTTATTTATTATTTTTAGCCTTTTTTCACTTTTGTAGAAAAGTAAGTTATCCAGGGTCTTCTTGGTCGTCTTGGTCCGCCGCTTTTTTTTGGCCACAGCGAGCTAGCCAAACGGCGAATTAACGGGTTCTATTTTATGACGTCACCAATCCCCAGCGACGGCCGTTACACGCCATGCCTTGGCAGGCACTCCTCTGCAACCCCGGATTTCTCTACTTTTAAAAACATTATCTTATTCCCCCGTGACGGACCCATTCCGGATGCGATTGACAACGACATACCCGTTAAGTCAACTCTGTGAGTCGAGTCGTGTTCACGGTCATTACCATGGCCGAATTACCACCAAGCGCCGGTTCGAGGGCCACAACGCACAGCCCAGCGGCCAACGATCGAAGGCAAGACCATGAACCAACCCAAAACATCCAACAGGACGTTGGGTATTTCGGGGCTGGGGATGCAGCGGATGCGAACGCTGGGACGACGACGGGCGCATTCTCGAGTACGGCTTCTGGCGTGCCCCCTGCTCAAACGACCGAACCGACACCAACCATTCCGACGATCAATGTTCCCGCAACTGGCGCAGAAGGTTCAGCAGCCCCGGCAGCACCAACACAAGTCTCCCGAGACCCACGCACCCTCTTCTTGAATCAACAACCATCAGCGATCCGTCTTCGTAGACTCAGAGGGCCGACCCTCTCTTCCTCCAGGATCGCGCCGGTTGTGCAGGCTGGGCCAGCATCGCTTGAGACAAGCGGTCGCAGACGATCCAGTTCCGAGCCTCAGAGGCCTACAATTCCCCCGGCGGCGGAAACATGGAGTACACTGCCGCCCGTCGCGGAGACCGCTTCCTACCCGTATCGCTCCGATCAAGCGCATCTTGTACCAGCCCCTGGGACCGATCCAGAATCAGAAGCAGCACCTACAACGCCTGGACCCGCACCAGCGCCCATCGCAGAGGCCGACGTGCCACAACAACGCCAAAGGCGCCGCCATTTCCCAGGCCGCCGTCGCTTGACCGTTCAGGGAAACCCTCACGGACAGGTTCTGGACAAGGATTGCTACGACTCGAGAATTGTCGACTTTTTGGACGTGGTTGGTAAGATGCCCTCCTTTTTGTTGGCCCCTTTGTGCATCCGTAGGGGATTTTACATCGATTCGACGGGCATCACTAACCAGCCCCTATTACAGACCCCGAAGTGGCCGCTCTATCGTCCATTACCAACATCCAGAACTCCCTGTTTGTGCCCTCTTTAGGCCGTTGGGTCAACCGTCGCCCAACCTACGATCTTTCACAATTTCCCCAGATCCCCGGAGCTTTCCCGCCTTCCAAGGAGGATGTAACAACCGCCGCAGAAACAGTTGAGAAAGATCATCCGCCCACACCACCTCGTTCCCCCAGTCTATCCTCCGTCCTCAGCGAACCGCAATATGCAATACTACCCAACGACGCCTCGCTAGAGGGTTGGCCTGAAGAGGACATCAAAGCTCTGAACGATTACGTCCGCCACATGCTACACTCTCGACGCTCCAAGATTAAGCAGCGATTTAAGGCCTTTGGCAAATATGCCAAACGACCCCTGGGCTTTCTCGTCACCCTCTACGCCACCCTGATCACCCTCTTCGGTCTAGCATGGGTGCTGTTTCTGATCGGCTGGATCTACGTCGGAGACCGGCAGTTGTACGCTATCGATGTCATCGACTACGTCCTGGTTGCTCTATTCGGCGTCGTTGGCGACGGGCTCGCTCCTTTCCGGGCTATTGACACTTACCACATGCTCTTTATAGCCCATTATCGTACGAGTTTCCCAACCTTCAAGTTCCATCCAAGTTAAAAACGATTCACGATGCTAACAATTCCTCAGATCGAAAAACATGGAAGCTGCGCAAACAGCTACTACTCCCCGACTTGCAGGATCACAACGACCTACCGACAGGCGACCATGATGGCCAGGATGGGCAGCAAGAGCAGGGTGAAAGCCACCGGGGTGGGACTAGACAGGACTCTCCAGAGCAAGACCTTGAGGCGCAAAACCGGCCAGCATCAACGAAACAGAACGAGTACTTCCCCGTTCTCTCCGACAAAGCGGAGGCCCGCTTAATTCACCATCAAACCAAGCTTGCCAAGTCACACACTTTCTACAAGCCTCACGAGACCGAGACACACCACGCATTCCCCCTACGTCTTCTCATTGCCGTGGTGCTCCTACTCGACCTCCACAGCTGTCTACAGATCTCACTCGGCATTTGTACTTGGGCCGTGTCCGCCCACCGTCTCCCAGCCGCCGTGACGACCACCATCCTATGTTGCTCCATCACCACCAACGTCACTGCCGGAGTTCTCATCTCCATCGGGGATCGGAGAACTCGTAAACAAGACGTGCTCGAGCGACTACTCAAACAAGATCTGACAGGCGAAGTGATGAAGAAGATGAAGAAGAAGAAGGAAAAAGAGGCAGAGAAGGAACATGCAAAGAAAGAGGGCGAAGATGGCGTTCTTTGGTCCAATGACACGTCGTTCACATCCAATCTGTCCACTCTACCGGCCCGGATCGACAAGTATCGCAAGAGCGGCGAAAGGAGCCGGAGCCGAGATGGGGTTATATCTGCGCCCCCTTCCCAAAGCAACGCGCCTCGAGCCCAAGATGACGACGGGCACTTAAAGGTCCCAGGAGCCTTGCCACACGAAGAGGAAACGTCTCGGAAGCAATTTTGACCGTACCATTTTGAATGACGAAATATTAATGGAATTTAATGGGATATGAATGACGACGCGGACTGGTTCAAAAATATAGAGGCCACGTTGGTTCAGGTAATAATAATTTGAGTAGCAACACAGATACCCTAGCGCAGAATTACTAGACTTGACTTTACAGGATGTCAGAAACTTCAAAAAACACTTGCTTGAACAACGTTATCTTCTTTGCTTGAACGAACTTCAAAAATCTTCTCGATCACATGCCCCGCCAAGGCCGGGCCAGGGTTCGGTCCTCGGTCTCGAGATGGACTAACCATGCATGGATTAGTGTCCTTCAAGGGTTGAAAGTGCCCCAGGGTCCTCAACCCGCACACCCTTTATCGAATGATCACTCTCTTCATCTCTTGAACGCGACATCAAGTGGGAGGGAGAGTGATCATCGACTCACGACACCATCAACGCAATGCCTCCAACTCAGCGTCTCTTACTCGCCAACTCGGCCGCTCTGGCCACTTCCATCGGCGCCGCCGCAGTCTACCTGGCCTTCGTTCAGTCCCCGCCAACGCTGGAACGCATGGTAGCAAAAACCGCATCGACAACCTTGCTCTCGGCCACAACTGTCATCCGGAATGGGCCTTCTCTCCTGGCGTTGGCGTTGGCTTTCGGGTCCCTCGGCGATGCCTTCCTCGCATGGGACGATGACAACAACGAAGATGACACGAAATTTCTATTCGGACTCGCCAGTTTCCTAGTGGCTCACCTTTTCTACATCGCGGTGTTCTGGCGGAGCACGGGGAGCAACGGCAAGCGCAAATCGCTGTTCTCGGGCTGGCGCGCCGTCCCCGCGGGCGTTTTAGTGTTGTTCGTCCCCATCATGCTCGCCTCGCTCGTGCCGCAACTCGATAGCAACCTGCGAGTCCCCGTCATCGGCTACTCGGCGGTCATCTTCGTCATGGCGCAAAGCGCACTCACCTTAGAACACCACCAAGTCATTGCTGGGAGCCTCCTCTTTGCCGCTTCGGACAGCATTCTGGCGGCAGACCGATTCTTGGTTCCCACGCATTCACCGTACAGGGTGTGGATGCAGTACGCCGTTTGGGTTCTGTACTATGCTGGTCAACTGCTGATTGCGTTGGGCCTTACACCTTTGTAAAAGGTATATCGCGCTGGGGACGCAAGTAAACTCCTCTTTTTGGGCTGAGTCTCTGGGGTGGAGTAGAGAGAGAAAAAATGGCGGGAGGGGCGCTGGTGGTTCCGATCATCTTTAGAAACTGATTCGACTGCTTACAAAAAAGGCTCCGGGGGAGTAAATCAGTGATTCGGAGTTGAGTTTTGAGTGTGTTAGATTGGTGATGTTGATGCTGATCACTTGGCTAAGTTATCAGATCATCAGATAACTTCTGCTGCATTATTAGCGCCTTCCAGCAGCTGAGACTTTCTTTAGTTTCTTTGGTTTGTGCCTTGCAAGTGGAAGGAATGCGCAACCGCCGGGCAGGGCAAGGACAGGCTCCAACATCAAACACGGCGATCAATTTGTGCTGCGATCAGTCAGCGGCGAGATATTGACTGGTTCGGCTGTTCCCGCAGGCCGCAGCCCAGTCACTTCGTCAGCTGAGACCGTTTTGGGAACTCTGGCTGAAAATGATTAGGTATTCGCATTTCTTAGGCTTCTTCTTAAGAGCGAGGGAGAAATCCCATCCCTCTCTCTTACTTAGTCCTTTCTTCAAAGGTCCAAAATATTGACCATGGCACCCAAATGCGTTCAAAAAGCGATCTTGCTCGCCAAATTAGTCGCCTACGGCTTCCGTGTGTTGTTCTCGGGGGCCAACCGCGCGTTATGGGCTAAGTCCTTCGCGCTAACTGCACCAGCAACTATCCAGCCCATCGATGCCTCCGAAGTCAAAAACGTCGTCGTCGTTGGCGCGGCGTTCGCCGGTTACTTTGCCGCCCGCTCCCTCGCCGCAACGCTCCCTCGAGACGGCCGGTACCGCCTCATCATCATCGAGCCCAATAGCCACTTCAACTTCACCTGGGTACTCCCGCGCTTCTGTGTTGTCGAGGGCCACGAACATAAAGCATTCATCCCTTACACCCCCGACTTTTTTGCCCAGGCACCCCCGGGCATGGTACAATGGGTCAGGGACCGGGTCGTGTCTGTCGGAAAACATAGCGTCGTCCTCCGTGACGGCGATGAAATTGCCTATGAATACCTCCTCATCGCAACCGGGTCCACCGTAGCCAACGGGCTACCGTCTCGAGTTGGTAGCGAGAGTCGGGAAAATGGAATTGCTATTCTCCAAGCGACACAGGCTCGCATCAAAGCCGCGAGTCGGGTGGTCATCGCGGGAGGAGGTGCAGCCGGTGTCGAGTTGGCTACGGACGCCAAGGAACGGTACCCAGAGAAGTCGATCACGCTGGTACATTCGCGACAGTCCGTCATGCATCGTTTCGGTCCAGAACTACAGAAAGGCGCCATGGACGCCTTGCGGCAGCTCGGGGTTGACCTCATCCTCGGCGAGAAGGTGGACCCTGAAAGCGCGGATGGGAAGTTCATCACGCTTGCCTCCGGGCGCCAGGTCGAATGTGACTGTTTTGTGAGTGCTGACTTCGATGGACCCCTCCATCTTCCGTTGCTGACTCCAGTTACCCCCGTTAGTTCAACTGCACAGGCCAAAAGCCGGCATCCGGACTCATGGCCGATATTGCCCCTGGTGCAATCGCTCCGTCGGGCCATATTCGCGTGAAACCAACACTGCAGATTGATGATGACTCGCTCCCCAACGTCTTTGTCTGCGGTGATGTGGCCGACGTCCAGGCTGTCAATCCAAATTCACGCATTGCAGGCCGGCAGGCCGAAATTGCGGCAGACAACATCGTCCTGGCAGCACGGGGGAAACCATTCGCTTACACTTATAAACCGGAGTGGGGCGACGAAGTCATCAAACTCACTGTTGGGCTGGTGAGTTTTCGCGTCACTTGAGATTCACAGGAACTGGGCTGACACCGACTGCATAGAACCGTTCGATCACTGACATATGGGATGGCCAAGCTGAGCTGATGTTTACCCATCAAGAAGCTGATCCCGCACTTATGTGCGGTCGGGCCTGGCAGTCGCTTGGGGCCAAGCCGTTTGAGGATACTGGGGATTACCCACGTTGAAGCGCTTCGAGATCTTGGGGGAGGGGGCGCGTGTAGGAATACAGTGACGGTAAGAAGTTTCACAAGAATTAATAAGGAGTAAATTGTAATAAGAATCCTGTCCGTTGTCGCTCAGATACAAGTAGACTCCACGGGAGGTACCGAGGTAGAGAGCCAAAGGAAAGTAATTAGTTAATAATTAAGGCAAACCAAGATGAATATGAATGAGACGGAATCTACTGGACATCTACAGAGCCATGACGGACAGCTCTCCTTTATATCACGACAATGGATGATGAGAGGACGGAAACTTTGAGATGGGAGCTGATTGAGACGGCCATGTATGTCAACTCCCATGTCCGTTGATAACGGCAATTAATTGGTGAATAAAACGAAACCCAAAAGGAGAAATCCGTCCCCACTCTTCCTGCAAGTCAGCCCACAAGCAGCTTGCTTCATTGGGTTCGAATCAAGGTTGCCCCGTGCACCAATGACGCAGGAGGCGGCCCTCGTGAGCTTTTGAGCGCCACGAATCAAGCGAAATGCACGATAAGCTTTCACGCTTTCTCGCCCAAAGTTATAGTGTACGCGTCTGGATGAACGTTGAGTCAGTCGTAGTGTAAATGGAAGAGCATCATCCATCTCAGCCCTGGGTAGCGGGCCAAAGTCCTCAGGGGTTGATGTCGGGTGGATCTCACGCCCACGCGACAGTCCAGGAATCCCCTCTCGGGCCACCCCACTTCCCACCAAAATGAGCCCACCGAGCCCACCGACGGTCGCGAGCGCGTGGGATGTGGGCATGCGAGTTGGGGAAGCCGCAACCCAAAATTTTGCGACCCCTGCTTGCCAGGAATTTCCTATCAGTACGTAACGGGTTAGACGGCGGAGAGACACGCGCTTTGCCTCGGTGGGATCTCATTCCCGGGCCAAGGTCTCAGATTGGATCGCTCCTTGCCCCAATCTTTTCAAGATTTATGAATTTTCAAGCTCAACACCAAAACAACAGGAGAAACCTGTTTCGCACCGTTCGCCGAGGTTCCCGTCTTCCGCCAGCCACGGCTATAATTACGGCGTCTTGGGTTCTCTTTCTCCCTTTCAAGGGCCCTCCCCACTTCTCAAAATTTTAAACAGGATCGATTTCTTACCCACCTCCACCGGAATCCGCCATGAGCGTCCACGAGCCGACCGCGTCGAGCAGCGGGGTCGAAGCGCGGGGGCCGGGTCACGAGTCGTCGGACGATGGCGATGCCATACTTGAAGCCTTGGGCTACAAGTCCGAGCTTGTGCGCACCCGGTCGACATGGCATGTCGCCTTCATGTCCTTCGTGCTGGCCTCGATCCCCTACGGCCTGGCTACGACGCTCTACTACCCACTTCAGGGCGGCGGGCCCGTCGTCGTAATTTGGGGATGGCTGCTTGTCAGTCTCATCATCCTCTGCGTTGCTTCCTCGCTAGGCGAGATCACCTCGGTGTACCCGACGGCCGGCGGCGTCTATTACCAGACGTTCATGCTTGCCCCGGCCAACTTCCGCCGCGTGGCCGCCTACATCTGCGGCTGGGCGTACGTCGTAGGCAATATCACCATCACCCTCGCCGTGCAGTTTGGCAGCACCCTTTTCTTCGTGGCTTGCGTCAACGTCTTCGAGAGCGAGCCCGGCGTGGGTGTCTGGGCCGGTGAAACATACCAAGTGTTTCTGACCTTTTTGGCTATCACGGTGCTGTGCAATATCATCTCCATCTTTGGCAACCGCTGGCTACACCATTTGGATGTAAGTTATTTGACGGGCAACGCTTGTAACTATTGTATGAAAACTATGTCCTGACACATAGGCGTGACGACTTAGACCTTTGCCATCTTTTGGACCTTTGCTGGCCTCCTCGCGATTCTAATCACCGTTCTCGCTGTTGCCAAGGAAGGCCGCCGCAGTGCTTCGTTTGCCTTTGGCGACTTTGAGGTCACCTCCGGGTGGCCTGCCGGCTGGTCCTTCTGCGTCGGCCTCCTTCACGCCGCCTATGCAACCTCATCGACGGGTATGGTGATTTCCATGTGCGAAGAAGTCCAGCGACCGGCCACCCAAGTGCCCAAGGCCATGGTCATCACGATCATCATCAACACCATCGGCGGCCTGCTGTTCCTGGTGCCTCTGATGTTTGTCCTGCCCGATCTCGCCATGCTTGTCGCCCTACCGTCTGGCCAGCCCGTGCCCACCATCATCAAGTCTGCCGTTGGCTCCTCAGGCGCAGCCATCGCTCTTCTCCTCCCGCTCATGGTCCTGGCCATCCTTTGCGGCGTCGCATGCACCACCGCTGCTTCGCGCTGCACCTGGGCTTTTGCTCGCGATGGTGCTATCCCTGGTGCCAAGTGGTGGAAGCAGGTCCATCCCAAGCTCGACCTGCCCCTGAACGCCATGATGCTCTCCATGGCCATCCAGATCGTCCTGGGCCTCATCTACTTCGGATCCTACACCGCCTTCAACGCATTTTCGGGTGTTGGAGTCATCTCGCTCACCGTCTCTTATGCCTCGCCCATTGCTGTGTCTATGCTGGAGGGACGTGCTCACGTCAAGGAGGCCAAATTTTCTCTCGGTAAATTTGGCTGGTTGTGTAACGGTGTTGCTATCGGTACGTACCTACTCCGAACCCTAGGGAGAAAAAGAAGGAAAATAAAAGGAGAAAATGAAAGTGAGAAAGAAGGAAAGCAAAGTCCCGTACTAACTGCTTCCTAGCGTGGTCGATTCTCGCCGTCCCCCTTTTCTGCATGCCCGCGTACCTCCCCGTCACGCGTGGCAGCGTCAACTATGCCCCCGTTGTGTTTGTCGGTTTCGTCCTGATTGCCTTTGCGTGGTACGCGGCCTGGGGCCGCAAGAACTACCAAGGCCCCCCGACAGAGAGCGTTGGAGAGGACCCGGCTGCGGAAGATCACGCCGCCGGTGGGCTCAAGAAGGACTAATTTGTTAACATCTCGGTGTCTTGGTCGTGCCATGTCTAATTAGCACTGCATGGCGGTTCAAAGGTCTACGATTGTTCTCAGAGTGGCATGGGCGCGGGCATGGTGTTTCGGGCGTCGCATAGCGGACCGTCGTTGGAGAAGATACCCCTTTTTGGTAGTGATATTCAGGCATGCAAATAATAAGGTATTGCTTTCAAAAGCCTGAGGTTTATTGTAACAGCATATGTGACAGAGGAAGCCTAAACAAACCAAGCCAGTTAAGAATGCCTACGGGCGGTCTGGAGGTCCAGGGCGTCGCGGACGACGCGGCGGAAGTCCGTTTTCGTTCAGAGCGAGATTAAAGGGAGTTGCGACACGGGCAACGAAACAAGCCACTAAGCAACTGCGTAATTAGTCGGGGAAATGGCGTCAAGTAGGTACGTGACACCAACTGTACATGCGGCCCCTCTCGAAATATCAACTGGCTTTCGATACGGCTTTGTTGCCCCTAAATTAACACTTCTGTATGGAATTCTATGACGCTAAACACCAATCCTCCTCAAGTGCTTCTTGGATGCGTGATCCCAGCGCTCCGTCTCGGCCATTTCCGCGAGGACGGAACCTCAGCGCCAATGCTCCGAGAAGTGCATTACTTTTTCGGGAATATCACGTCAAAGACCCGGCTCCCAACGGCTGTGTAGTTGGCAACGTAGGCGTCTCCCCACGGCTGCATGAAAGTATCTATTGTCAAGTATGTCAGCATCTCATAGTCCGATTCCAAAACACCACAGAGTATCTTACCGTACGTGCTCGCAGGCTTGGTCTGGCAAAGCCAAATAAACGTCTCGTTGACGCCATTCACAAAATCCGTTCTTGGGAATGCCTTGGTCACGGCAGCGAATTCCTCATCCGTCACGCCGTACTCCGCGGTCTCAAAGTCCATATGGATCGCCTTCTGCGCAAGCTGGACCTCAACCTCCTTGTATGCAGCAATGCTCGCATCCGTGTGCAGGGCGATGGAGTCCCAGACCAACTGCACTCGGCGTTCCTCCCACGTCCGGCCATCCCGGTGCGAGCGGATGAAATCCCGCGCGGCGATCGCCCCATCAACTTCGAACCGGCGATCCGGGCTGATCATGGGCGAGTTTTCCGCTTGGTCCCAGCCGAGATCGTGTAATAGTGAAGCGACGGCATGTACTTCCATATCAACCGTGGCCTGTAAGGTGTCATTGTGCTTCACGACGAGCGCGCCGAGCAGCCACGACCGCATGACATGTTGGTAGGTGAAGTCCTGGCTGTACTTTTTGGCGTATGCCTCGGCTGCGCGCACGATAGGCGTGTCCACGACGGAGACCCCGGCGATGCTGCGCGTGGGATAGTGGGCTCTGGGGCCGCTAGCGATGTTGTCGGAGAGCGGGATGGCTTCGGCGAGGGGAAACAGAAGCAAGACATTGACAACGGCGGCCAGAGGCCGAGATAGAATCTGGACGTTGACCATGTTGACGGTGCAGTTCTAAAGGGAGGACAGCGCAGTGGGGGCTGATGAGAAACCGACTGAAGAACTAAGAAGCACGAACTGACTTGGGAAGATCAGGTAGCATCAAGTGGCAAAAAGCTGATAGGATTATATAGATATTTACACGTCGTTTCTTTTTCACTCCACACTCGCGTTTCTCTATATTCTCACACTATCTCCGCAGGTGTCCGGATGCTCCATGCTGGTAGAGTTTCAGCCCGAGTGGGTTCGGAAGTTATCCAACCGCCAAGCTCACGAAGTAACCACCGAACTAACTCAACAAACACAACGGGTCCTTTTAGAAGGGCCCAGAGCTCATCACATTTCACGCGGAGTAACGCCAAACTGACTCAACTGCAATAATTTGCTCTTCCATGCAGAAACATCAAGTTCCGGGTGAGGGAAATACCTCCACGCCCATCCACACCGGCAGCAGCCCCATGCCCGATCACTAAACATTTTCATCCGGGGGTGGTTTTCCGCCAATACCAACTTAAATCGAAATAATTAGGTCTAGGTTGGATTCCATTCATTACCCTTGGTGTCATTCTCTTCCATTGCACCACGGCCATACTAAGGGATCGACCGCATCCAACACAACATCGGCTTGAAAGCTCATGCCCCATAATTAATACACCATTATAATTAGAACCTCCGCACGGTGTCGGATCACATCCCAGTACTTCATCCACGCTGAGTCATGCTAGTAAGGTTTCGTTCTCGGTTCTCAAGGCTTGTAAACCCTACGAGGCCCAATTCTGAAGCCCAATTTCAGGGGCACAGGGAATCATCAACATCAAGGGCAATATCAAAGCATCCGTGACATGCGCAGGTTTCAAGAGACAGAACCTTGGGCATTATCCATGTATTGGCAAGGATATGGTATTCCTAAACGTTTTGTCACTGCACACATAAACTCCGCCAGCCCCTCTCGAAGTCCAAGACATCCGCCCCCAAGTACAGACCAAAACGGCTTCCCTACCACAACTTGAATGGCGCCCTCAACCTCCCGGCAGCTCCAGTGGCAATCGAGCTCGTGGCAGTAGACGGCGAAGACCCGACACTGCTCGGCCCAACAGTAGAGGTGGTCTCAACCGTACTAGGCCCATCGGTGGGCGGAGATGCAGAGGCTGACGTGGACGTGGATGGGGTACCGCTAGGCTCCGCGGCCGATGTGCTCGGCACGCTGCTCGGCCCGACAGTCGAGGTGCTGTCAGTACCGCTGGGTTCAACAGTGGAAGTGCTCGGAACATCTGTGGCGCAACCGCCCATGGTCACGATGGAGTAGCTCCTCTCGCACCAAAGACCCTGGCACCCATCAGAGCATGGAAAATCAAGATATACCGTCGGGACCGGTTCCGAGCAGACGCAAGACTTGGTGATGGTGGAGACTTCCAGGCAAGCTGGGACCACGCAGGTCGAGCAGCGCTCCCTTGTCGAGGTCACAGTAGCACATGCGGGTGCGGTCGGCAGGCTGACGCTAGGCGAAGTGATGGTGCTGCAGGAATCATCGTCGTCGCCATCGTCGCCAGGGGCGCTGGAGTGAGCAGCAGCAAACGAGGCCCTAGAGAATAGGTACAGCCTGTTAGTTGTGGAAGAGGTGCCGAGGTCATAAGATTGAGAAACGTACACAAAGGCCACAGCAACGGTAAAGGACTTCATAATCACTTCAGTCTTCCCGTTGAATGTTGATCAAAATACCGTTAACTTTGTAAGTTCACAACAGTACGGAGACTCAATATCAAACTTGAAAGACCATGACGTTCCGCTGCAGTATTTATGCGTTCCCCGGATCTTGGCATGGCTTATTTCCTGGCGGCCCAAGTTTGGCCCGCCTCGTCCGCCACTCCCGCCCCTCGTTTTCACGGGCGTGTGTTTGTCTCGGCAGGCGAAAATCCGCGGAACCTCATTCGCCTGGCCAAGTCAAGGACCTCGTATTCATCGAGATCACGTTGACAACGGATAACGCAGGGCCACAAAACCGGCAGCCAGATGCAATCAACGCCGGTCCCTTTGCCGGCATGTCACGCCAATCCAGGACAAACTCGTCATAGCAACGGCAGATACTTGGGCCGCTCCACAGCGACCTCCGGCTCCAACAGCGGAAGCCATGCTTGGGGCCGGCTAGGAACTGCGGTTTAGTAATAATTCGTAGTTCATCTAAAATACGGTAACGGACGTCCTTGCCGCATGGTTTCCAAAAGGACGGGGCCCTGCCTGTGTAATATTATCACGCCCGATATCTCGCCCAAGGGAACAAGTTGATTTGGGCAGGCGGGCGGGGCTAGGGAATCAACGGCTTTTCCATGTGATATCCAGGAGCCAGCGTCCTCGGGAATAATGTTGCCCAGGCATTAGTGACGCCACAGGGCTGGTATACGAGCAGCTAGGCAGGGAAAGGTCACAAAAAGTCCGGCGGGAGCTTCTGCTCCAACGACTGGGGGTATGTCCACATGACAAGGGCCGTGGCCAAGGAGTGCAGCGGGCGTCTCCAAGCTGGGATGGCGGACCTGTTTCGTGAGGTGGTATCGAGCCGGCCCAAAAGAAGGATATTTCCAATAAGGTTGAGAAGGCGGAAAAGGCTGCCAATCTTTTGTTAGGATACCTCACCATCTGTGTGGGCCCTTAGGGAGGGTCGAATCTTGAGGGATTTAGACTTACGTGTTCAGGGCAAACATTGCCAAAGTGGCCTTCGTGCTCTTCTCAACGTGAGCATCTGGGGACTTTGCAATCCCGGCGGCAATGGAGTAAATGGGGGGGATCCAGAGCCCCAGGATCAGGAACTCGAGCACCAACGTGAAGTGATACGTCCTCCATACGTTGCCACGGCAGATGATGAAGCCCAGGCAGATCCACAACAGCAAGAAGTTGGTCTATCAAATTCCACATAAGCGTCAGTCTTTGGGGTGGGCATTATAGTGGGCTCCAACTCACTACAGTCGGCGCAAACACCAAAATGTCGTCCCGGAAATACCTCCAAGCCAGAGCGGCCGCCACGATCCCCAGGCCCAGCTGGAGCCAGCCGAGTAGAAAAAAGACAAAGAGGGCGTCGTTGTACCGCTTGTAGCAGAAACGGTGCATCTGCTCGCACCCAAACGCGCCGCCTTCGACAATGGGAAAACCGCACCATCGACACACCCACACGGTGTCCATGTTGGCTAGGTTGATCCGCTTGCCCACGCGGATGCGGGGATCGCGGTCCTTGACGGCGCAGTCCAGACAACAGCTGGCCAGCGGGTACCCATGGTCGGCCACAGTCGGCTGCAGCAGGCGTGAACGGAAGGGGTCGTAGAGCAGACAGTTCTTGCAGTGGCCTAGGAGCTGCAGACGGAGCTGGACGGGGCCGAAGAGGCGCCGGATCTGTTGCGGCGAGGCGAGGGAGTGCAGCGCTTTGCACGTCTTGCGGAGGCGGACAATATCGGCAAAGTCGAGTCGGAGGATAATCAGCAGCAGGATCTCATGCGGCAGGGCCAGCAGATGGCGAGGGCGAGGCTCCGGGGCGGGCGGCAGGCCCATGCTCAGAGGGCCCTTTGATTTTGATCTCGTGAGAAGAGCACCGGCACCGACATCAGCGCTGGTTGAATCGGGCTTGAGGTGGACGACATCAACGGCCGTTGCATCGTGGTCTCGTCGTGCGAGGGAAGAAATGGAGTTTCGAACGGTCTCGGAGAATCCGCCGGGAGAAAGACCGATGAGCCCGTGGATGAAGTTGCTCCCTTGGGTCACAACCGGATCAGGCAACGATGGTGATGGTGGTTGTACTAGCGCTGGGAGTGGTATTTGGGGAGTTGATGCACCATCGGAACCGGTGGGCAGCGGTGGGGGCTCCACCTCGTCGGGAACCGGTGCCATGGTTAGTGATGATTAAATGTGTGGGGTGTGAGGCCCGGTGAAGTCAGAGCTCGTGAACGTGAGTGATGCTTGATTGTCGATGACTCATGAGAAATGAGAAAAACAAAACGCAAAAGCTCTCTGGGACGTCGCAGGGAAAGCAGTGAATCTCACGCGGCCGTACTCCTGCTCCCTACCCAAGTCTAGGTGAGATGCGCGAGATGGTTCTGTATACGCTAGGTGATGCGTCGTATTGTTGATGTTGCAGCCTGCTGAAGTGATGTGGACACGCCGAAGCGTTGGCGTGGGCAGCTAGCTGTCTGGGTTGTACAGACAGTACAGCGCCCGTCATGGACCAGTCCAAACGGGTGGCTGGGCTGAGCTCCTGCGCCAGTTTCGGTCGATGAGGAGCGGGGCCCGAGAATATGAGGCAGCATTGAGGTTAAAAGTTGGGGCCAGCAGTTGAAATAGTTTCGATGCCCGTTTTTTCCTGGCTCATATCTTCGATACAGTATTATGTACAGTACATGGAAGGATGACGTGAGGTCGATTTCGAGCGCTGGAAGCCAAATGCGACCCCTGCCCGAGCTCAGGTACCTCCTAACGGTCGGCAGGCCCCACCACGTGCCCCCCCCAAACAGCGTGTCACGCAGACCAAAAACCGCCCGCCTGTGGTGATAAACCCAACGAGCGGAAAGCTTTAGCGCCAAAATTCGACGTTGGCCGGACTTGATCAACAAGAAGCAGCAAACACTTTAACCAACTGGCATGTGGCACAGGTCACCAGGGCTAGGGAGTTCAAATCCCAACCGAAACAGCGGCACATTTTCGCAAAAAAGAGCAACTTAAAGAAAAAAAGAGGGAAAAAGGAGAAGGGGGAAAAAGAACAATAACCAACAAAAGTTTGTTTACATTGGTAGGTAATTACACACATACTCACCTCCCTAAGCCTTGATCCGAAACCCAGCAATTCTTGCTAAAATACAGCCAACTCAACACCCTTTCCCAACCCCGACGGCCAAAAACCTCCCCACGATTGGTATCATCTCTCGCTTTTGAGTTCAAAAATGCCATTAAGAAGGAAAAAGTGGATTCTCCTGCCATACACCGATGTACAAATACACACACACATATATATACCTAACCAACGACACACCCTTTACTCTCCATTCAGTTTATCACATCCATTCACTGCCCCGACGTACCACCTCAAAACCCTCATCATCCGTCTCCGACATGCGGAACAATGTGTTCGTAATGGCCGGAACAATCACCGAAGGCGAGTACACCTGCCCTTGTATTCCCCGCATGCCCTGGGGATCTTGCATGTCCTGCATGTCCTGCATGTCCCCTGTGATGGTCTGCAACGCGAGATCGTCCATCGACGGCCCGAAGTTGAAGTTGGCAAAGACATTGTGGGTGTCCAATGAGAGATCAGGCCGGAACTCGGCGGCCTGTTGGTTGGAAAAGGGGCTTGGGGCGTTGGAATGCCCCTGTTGGGCCAGATGGGCCAACTGCCCGAATTGGTCCGCCGCCATTCCACCCACGTTCTGCCCCAGGCTGTCGAACCCCAGGCCAACTTGCGTCAATGCCGGCGGGGCTGTAATGTGTTTCCCAATCTGGCCACCTCCTCCTTGGCTGGTTGCGCCCGGGCTCGGAGCGCCGCCGCCCAAAGACAAGCCCGTTCCCAGGGACCTAACGTCGCTGGCACCCGTCCCACCATAACCAAGAGACGGCGATGGCGACGGCGGAGCCAGGTGTGGTCGGACCTCTGGCGCTGCCATCAGCTCGGCATGCCCCCCCAGGACGCCGTTGCTATTAGGGGTAGCAATGGGCGAAGACAAGCTACTATCAGAGTGCCCCGAGCCTTGCCGTCCAGGGATGAGTCGTGCAGTGTCCTGGCGGACAGCGAGCTGCCGCGATGTTTGGACGCGCAACCGTCTGCGGTGGTTGGCAGCGCCCCCAGGTCTGATCCGACAAGCTTCGAAAACCGAGTCTAAGTGGTTCCTGAAGATGTTAAGCACTGTTCTGGCGTCGCTATACAATTCCAGCGCTTCCTGGATCCGCAACTCCAGCTGGAAGTCGACCTGACCGGTGTTTAAACGTGCGTAAACCTCATCAAGTTCGACCGGGGGCATAAAATCTATGTGAAGCACAGTCTCTGTTAGCATGGGTGCCATACGTTGCATCACAGGCGCATACACATACCAGGCTCAGGAATCTCGTGATCCTTTGGGAAAAGCAAGTTCCACAAACTCTCCCAGGAGTCAATCTTGCTACCCGCCTTGCGCCCGTTCAGGGCCTCTTCAAGTCCTGCCGTGATGCCGTCTTCTGGGTCTGCGCTCGACGGTACTGCCTGGGGGTCGCAGATAAGGTCCCGGCCAACAGAAATGTGGTCGTCTAAGGCCTTTTGCGAGCCCATGGCACACCTACACCGCTGACAGGTGAAAGGGAGCGTGGCCGATTGTTTGTGGAAATTCTTGACATGTCGTCTATCACGCGATTAGCTATGACTCTCCAGTTCATTGCATGCAACTCGCCCCAAACGAGTGCTACTGCACTTACTTGAGCTGGGGCATATCCGGGAAGGGCTGGACGGCGCAACTCTGGGACTCCCTGACATTGAACCGCACCGGGTTCCTCTTGCGAAAGGGGCAGCTAAACTGCAGGTCGGTAGCCTGGTGGCCCGCAGTTGAAATCTTCTGTCGCTTCCCAGCACCAGGACTACAATCACCGGCACCATCCCCGGACCCCGAGTCGTCGTGTCCAGCATTGGAGCGTTTCCGGCCAGAATTCCCGTTGCCCCGACCCCCGCCGCCCCCATTGCCTCCAGCCCATGCCCCTCCGCCCGACCATATTGGGATTGTCCTCTGACCGGCATCGCCTAGCGTTGACTCGCTGATCGCCGGGCCTGTCCTGCCACGGCCAGTATTTCCAACGATGCGAGAAAGCTCATCCAAGCAGTAGCTCACAGCATCGTAAGCATCCGAGGCTGACCCCACAGCAGCGAGGTCATGAAGTTCGACGCCGAACGCCCGGGACAGAAGGGCATCGCACACCGAGTGTACCAAATCATCGCCCGGGCCTGATGTTGGTTGCTGATGGCCATGGCCGGCCGACGACTCTGATATGCCGCTACTAATCGAGCTCAGTCGCTCACGAGGGGTCACTGTGCCCACCGAAGCTTCAAGGCCAACTAATCCCACCCCGTCCGGGGTGGTGCGTCCAGGTGTTGGTGCGTCATCTTCCTCATGTTCCACTTCTAAGTGTCGCGCCACAGGCCGGTCAAACCCAGTCACACCTCTGGTATCCTCTTCTTCATCCTCTTCGTCCACCTCTAGCAAAGATTCAGCAACCCGTAGTTCATCTCTCTGCGTGGTTTGAGCAGGCCCGCCCGGGCCGGGTGACACGGATTTACTGAGGCTTGACTTGCGTGGAATTATCTCCTCCAACCGACGGTGACGTGGGACGGAAGGTTCGGGCGATGCATTGGGGGGGCCCGGTGCACCCCCAGGTTTGTCGGTTTCGGAGGGCGAAGGCGGGGCCCGGATGGGTAGGCGCTTCTGAAATGCTGTTGGCCGAGGGAAAAAAGCGCCTCGCCGTGGGGAGGACGAAGCAGGTTCAAAATCGCTGTCGGCGGCTTCCAAGTCGCCAGCAAAGACGATATCTGGACTGTTTAAGTCCGTCAGGTCGGTAGCCGTGGACCCAGCGTAAGACCAGCCGGTGTTGGTTCGCTGGGGGTAAAACTGAGAGATACAGCTCTCGTCGGTGTCTCGCCTTTCGAGGTGAATATCGTCCAACAAGTCCTTGTCCACACGGTGGTCTGGCTCCGGCCCGTCCGCCCGGGCTTTGGCATTCATGAGGCCCGCCCGCAGTACCCCTAGTTCGTCCGACGCGGGGCCATCGGTCTGCTCAATTCGTTCCTGAGCTACCGAGCCCTCGATCGGCCGTGGCGAGGCCGGGACACCGGGATCAGGCGGGTCCATCTTAGCGCAGACGCGTAGCGGGCGACCGAGCGCCGGTGTAATTCGTGGCAAGGGCCAGGTTGCTCACAAGGAGCTAGAAAAGATATCCAGTCTATAGGCAGACCGGGAACCTAAAACGCCGGCTGAGATGTTGAACCAAGGATTTTTGCCCAAGTGTAGCGTAGGGTGCCAAAGAGGGCGACTTAAGCGGCGTGGGACCCACTGCAATGAGACGACAAGGCTGCGGGTGTTTCGTTCACAGCGAAGGGCCTGCCGGGCTCACGTAAAGGGATCTTCATCAACCTGGGCTAGACAGGACGGTATAGCACGATGACCCAAGAGGGCTTCGGTCGCTCAGGGGCGCCAGGATGTTGGTCAAAATATGAGACGACGAGAAGGTTCGGGTCTTCTGCTTTGTTGAGTGGTCAGCGGGGCAGGCTGCTTGCTGAAACACCCCAGGCTGCTGCTGGACCAGCTTGGTGGGGGGGAATCGACGCGCTTTTGTTCCAGCCGCCGGTCACAAACCCCCGGTGATTGGTTCCACGGGGACGACATGCATCTCAGCGGCGGTGTTCGGCCTTGCAGCCATGCTGGGTCGCGAGGCACGCGAGGTTGGTTCCAGAGCCGCGAGGACCAAGGATTAGAAGATCCGTCATTGGCTCAGACTAGCCCCGCGATTGGGGGCCGCCATCACAACCACAACGACGGCCCGCACCAAGGGTTCAACGGCGGAACTTGGAAGCCTGGAGAGGCAAAGAGGCAAGGAAGTCAGCCGCGGAACACCAGCTCCAAGCTCTTCGCCAGACCTGGGCCTCGGCGTATGGTTTAGAGTTCACAAATAGCCCATCGTTTCTAGGTCCGAGAGGCGCGTTCGTGAAACTCTCGAGCAGAAGCACCGAGAATCATGGCGAAAATCAACTCGGTTTGGAATTGGCGCAGCACCTGGGTTTTGTTTGCCTTGGTCGCTAAAAAAAGGCAGCGGGCGGGAGTGGGGAATGTTACGTGAACGGAGTGAGTTCCACAGCCCGAAAGTACCAGTTGCCAGGCAAGTGCGACGCTCACTCCCAAGCCTGTTCCTCCCTTGGCAACCCGAGACTCGAGACAGAGCAGCGTTGGATGGTTTTTTTGCAGCCAGCTGAAATGAGCCACATCTTGGCAGCCAAGCAGCACAGGCAGGTCGCCCGGGCCGCGGTGGCAAGGTGGCTCGAGCTCAACTTCAGTAAAGTGGGCCCACCGACACACCCAATGCGGCTGAGGCAAGAAACTCTTCCCATTCCACGGTGTCATTGCAAGAATGGCAACGTCGAGAGCAACACCACGTTGACATATACGCCGCCAAAACCCCTCGAACAGGCAGTCTCCTAGGATCACATTTACCTTTGCTTTCACATTTTCTTTCCACCACCATCCGATCATCTTTTGATCACGGAACCAGTCTTGTCACGAACCACCGTTCGCCGCTACCCCTCTTCCTCAGCCGGCTCACACCAAACCGACCCCTAGAGTCAAGGCGGCTGAGAGGGAAGAACAAGATCGGAGCCAGTATGACGACCGCTCGAGTACCTCACAAACCCATTGTTGGCAGTAGGCCTCCCATACGTGGAGCTAATTCTCGTGGCCTTGCGGCGCTCCGGAACCCGGTTGAGCCTTGAGGTTGTTTCTCTGTCGCCTTGGGCCCTCAAATTCTCCTCCCCAGAATTGCGCACCTGGTGTAAAAGACGAGTCCTCCCACAGACCGGGCAGCCGGGTGGGGCGCCAAGCCAAGCGGACGAATCGAGCTTTCCCACTGCGCAGCCAGACGACCTTGCTAGCAAGTCACTCGCCCTGCTCAGTGCTAAGCTAGGTCACAGTGACCTTGGGCGACCGACAAAACAATAGCCCATCAATCAGCCTTCTGAATTTTTACTTGTCAACAACCACCAACAACCGCGACTCCAAACCACGCCCCCAACTCATCCCGAAGCTCACCATTTCAACGAAAAAAAAATATCATCGCGTCACCGCCATCAACCACGCGTGCCGCAACCCGATATTCCCCAGAACATCATTTTCGACTTTTTTAAGCCGCCCAGCCACCCCGCGCATCGCAAAACTTGATATCAACAATGGCCGGCGGAAAGGGAAAGTCCTCAGGTGGGAAGAGTTCTGGCGGCAAGACGTCCGGAGTCGACAACGCCAAAAAGCAGCAAAGCCACTCGGCGCGCGCTGGTTTACAGGTATGTCCGCCGTCGCCCCGACACCTGAAGTGCACCGGAGCAGTTGTTCGTCGCGCGTTTCGCAACCCATCACCATCACAGCGACCGCGCTCATCCCCCGTCCAACCTGCACAACCTCGTGCGCAAGCCGTCGCTCGTCGCGTGGCGTGGTCGCATCGCGCATGTTGTTCTTGTCCGCCTGGTTCGTCCGGGCAGAACACAACAGCGGGATTGGCCGATGAAATGGATAACACAGATGGGCGCCGTCGACCAGCCCCGCACTCCAACCACCCTACGCACGCGTGCGCTAGACGAGCATTGCCTCTCAAGGATCTTGATACTGACCATCCCTTCCTCAGTTCCCCTGCGGCCGTGTCAAGCGTTTCCTCAAGCAGAATACGCAGAACAAGATGCGCGTTGGCGCCAAGGCGGCGGTCTATGTCACCGCCGTCCTAGAGTATCTCACCGCTGAGGTGCTCGAATTGGCTGGTGTAAGTGCCTATTTTGCGCGACTCCCGCCATGGAGGTTGCCGGCAGCCCTTTCCCCTCCATCATCAGCCACCTTGCTAATTCCCACATCCTTTTAGAACGCTGCGAAAGATCTCAAGGTCAAACGTATCACCCCTCGTCATCTCCAACTTGCCATCCGCGGTGACGAGGAGCTGGACACCCTGATCCGTGCCACCATTGCTTTCGGTGGTGTCCTTCCCCACATCAACCGCGCTCTGCTGCTCAAGGTGGAACAAAAGAAGAAAGCCAAGGTTATCGAGGCATAATGGATGGGTGTCAATGCGCTAGAAATGTCTACATCGGATAAAAGGCCCCCCTACGAACGCTTGACTTCTAGGGGCCTACGAGATGGAGGACATCTTCTGCGACGAGGCTTTTGCGTTGGGATGTCTTGGTATTGTTTTTTCTGTTGACTGTGCTGGACCGCCCCTCCTCCCTGCTCGACCACAATCTATTTCCGTATCCCCAGCCTCCGGCATGACGCAGGCTCCGGGACAGCTACAGGCCTGGAACCGAATCGCCCAGCACTCTTAGCGCCTGCACTAGCTGGGGAAAGGTCCCAACTCCCGGCCAGGCTGGGACACATGTGGACGATACACGATAGGGAGGGAGAACAAGAGACGAGCCGTCCGTCCTTGGGCGGTCTCACATGTCGGGCGTCACAGGGTCCCGGTATTTGTACCAACAAAGTATTGACTTTATATTCTCCCGCGGGTTCAATAAATGAGCAAGGTCACCACCAGCTGGTCTTTACATCGCTCGCGCCGAGAGGACGTTGTTGTCCCCATGACTTTCCCTACTTGAAAGAGCCCGGGCCGCAAGATTGGATCTGACGGCGAGAGTTCGAGAATGTGGGAAATAGCGAAAGGGACGTACTCACTTCCTACGCGCCATCTACTGTGTCGTCGTTTATTAACTATACGCCCTGCTCAATACAGGCCCTGGCTCAACATTGTTTCTTGCTGGTAATCGTGTAGCGTTTTATTCACCCTGTGCATCATTCTTATCCACCCAGTCACCATAGTACATAGGCTCGCTCCTCAAGAGCCGACCTCCATTTCCCATCTCCTTCCTACCCCTTTCCCCCGTCTCTCTTCTGTTTCTCCAGTCTTTCTTGTTCCCCCCTTGCTATCAGCCTGGGACTCCTTCGACCCTCCTTGTAGACGTCGAGCTCGAGAAGGTTTTCCGTCCCCTCCATCTTCTCCCTCTCCTCCCCATCCTCATCATTTATCCCCTTCTCCTGTATGGCGGGTAACCGGGCCAAACCCGGCCCACGCCTGCGCTGAGAACAAGCCCCGTCCCGCACCCACGCGGTATACTGCCTATTAACACACTCGGCTGGAAAGTCACAGTGTAGCCAGCAGTTGTACCGACCGGAGAGATAGACACGCTCCTTACAACGGGTCACTTTCCTCTGCATTGTGGGAGGCAACTCCTCCCACGTAGGGCGGCGCTCTTGCCTGTCGAGACCGTCCGTCCAGTTGTCACGCGCAGCAGTCAGTCGAAACAAGGCAAACGTGTCCCCATGGCCCGCGGGCTTCTCCATATCGTTGCGTCTCTTTTTCTTCCGAGAACCTAATACCGTCGCCGAAGCAGCCGCAACAGACCGGCGGTATGCCCCCCACACTGACCAACCGTGATAGTCGAACTCGGTAATGCAATGTCGCCCGCCGCTCGTAGGGCTTTCAAGTTCTTCGTCCTTCGGCTTCCCCTGCATTTTCCGAGGCACGGCGCAGAACCAGTGGCCACAGTTCAGACATCGCTGAGCTACAGCGAAGGAATATTTTCCGCCACAGCGGTGGCATTTCCAGCGCCATGCCTGTGGTGTTTTGGGTGGTAGGAACGTCGCCCGCGTGTCCGAAAACTTCCTGTAAGACTTTCCGTGGTCGCCACAAGGCCCACCATCGAACCGTGTAGCTTGGGCTGAGGTTGCCGCTGCATCACAAAGCCCCTTGGTCGAAGATACCCCTCCCGCTAGTGCTGTCAGCCCGTCAATCCTGTCGGCCGGTAAAGTGGTCTGGGATATGGCTCGGCCTTTCGTCATGTCGAGGTACCAGTTAGAGTTGGTAGGGGCCCAATGATATCACATCAACCTAGCCCTCAACTACTACTGTAGATGGGGGGTATTATGGATGACGCCGATAGTAAGCTGGCTAACCTCCGGTATCAAACTTGCGGCCTTAGTTAACTATATTCCAACATGGCGATTTCGATTCGGAACACGAAGAATCCCCAGGAAAGCTCTTCACCTAACAAAGGAATAAAACAAGACATTAGGCTGTGCAAGCGTCGTGTCAGCGACGAGAAAGGAATTGAGTCGCCGACCCAGCTTCAACAAGGCGTTGGCAAACCCGTCCCCGGCGCGTTCTTTGTGGTTTCGCATTTGTTCCCCCCTCCATCCAACCGCCCCCAAAGCAGGCCCAAGCATAGTTAATTGCATTGTTACCGGAACTACTGAGGACAAAGCAGGACAAACCTGAGCAGAAGCGGGGTCTTGTGAACCACTTCTCTCAATTTTCCGTCCCCGCAGCTTCCTTCAAGTTGGAATCGCATCACTGACAATACCCACGGATTGTGGTATAAACAGTACTGCCCGACAAGAGGAAGATACCGTGTCTTCCATCATGGAGTTCATTCACAATACAATCCCTACTCCTGTGCAAACGGCAAGGCCTAGCACCCCCAGCGCACTGGTTCCATAACTCGTATGAAGTATGAATACAGTCATCGGCTCATCGGGATAACACAAAAGGGGGGTGAGAGTTGAGACAACGTGAGAAGCCGAGACATCCGTGCCATGAGGCATCCATGATGAGGGCCAGGGGAGGATGAAAAGTCAAGTTGAACGTTAATGATGATCGACTGCAGGGGATAACGCTCGTTGCTTTTTTGGAACTTGACTCCTCCAGTGAGTCGATGGTCGTCCAGATTCAAAAACTCGGCTTCAAACTCAGTCGATAACGTGACCAATACCAACCAGGGCCAGCAGGCCACCAAACAGAATGCAATGTTGGAATGCGCTGTCTGCAGCGGCAAACTAGCAATTCTGGGTCGCCCCGATGCTTGTCATCTGCATTTGCCCACGCCATCTATTGTCGCCTTTGCCCATTGTTGGTGATTGTTGGCCGTACCAATGCTTTGTACCGAGCCACTGGAAGCTCCCACGTCACAGTCGGCTAGACTGCCACCTGCTGTATCCATTCGATGTATTCATAGCAAGAAATCGCATCGGACCTAAGTTGCAGTACTGCTGGATAAAACAAAAATAAAAAAAACAGACGAAGAGAAGACAGCTTCAGATCTGAGAAATTGGGTGATGTAACATGGTGGGGGCTGGATATCTAATGACGGTGTGTAACCTCGAGCGTGTTGCGGATGTGCGTGGATCTGGCTCAATAACTACGTCTATACGAGTGTTCGAGGTCTGGCGGCGCAATGACCGTCGTGAGCGAGGCGAGATGACCTCAGGTGAAGGAAGAGGAAAGTGACGATGAACCAGTGGGCCCGAAAAGCTGGAAGACCCATTGTTTTTCCCTGGCTGCCCTCGCTAACCCTGGAGAATCGTCGTGGGGCTCAGTAGATCCCTCGCTAAGGGCAGCATCGTCAACGACACCCCTTTTTACGCAGTATTGCCTAGTAATTATTCTTCAGGCACCAAGGAACTATTCAGGGCTATGCAATGTCCCACATTGTGTTATTCCTCATATATCGTCTTTTACGCTCACCTCTTTCGCCCCGGACGAAGCAGACGACTCTCCGACGGACAGGAACAAATTTGGTTGGCCATGAGCCTTCGAACCCCTTGAATTTTCCAGCAGCTCACGGGCAGCTTCCAGCAATCCGAAGCTGTTTGGCTTGTCGCGGCCCGCTCGCAGCAACGAACCCCTGTTCCGGTTGCCCCCCCGCCGAGAACCCGGTCTGGGCGAGGAATTCAGCACAGGGTGAAGGTGGATCTCACACACAAAAAAAGAGGGCGCTAGTACCAGACCGCCTCCCACTCTCAGCTTTCGCAGCAAGCGCACCCGCCAACCAGTCTGCTTCTCAGCGCCCGCATCACCTCCTCCCAACTTCTCAAATCCAATCCTCCGTCCCTCCAATCTCTGATCCTCAGAGGCTACTGCGCACCCTCTCGCGACGACATTCCATGACGCTGCGGACGACGTGATGACCTAGAGACATTTAATACGCACCCGTTCAGAGCTTGTTCTTTTTTTTTTGCTCTCTTGTTTGTTTGTTTTTCCCTCTTCTCCGCACCAATCCTCCCCAGGCCCCCAACAAGCGCTTCGCTGTGGAGAGTTTTTTACGGATACTTCGTTCCTCTTTCTCGCTTCCATCAACAGCCGCAACCCTTCCGTCTTGCTCCACTCAAGTCCGGCGGGGGGGAAATACGCTCCTCCGCGCTCGAAAAATCTGCGCTCCGAGTCTCCGGGTCGAGAGGTGGTTGCCGACAACAGGTACTCGGACCTCGAAGCGGCGAGCGCTTTGGTTAGATCGTTCATTGTAGTTTCGTCCGGGCAGCTTCTGCTTGTACGGTCAACGAAGCCCCCTGGGCGAACCGCCCATTCTCCGCTCGGCCAGCCCTCAATGCCAACTACTCGGACCTTCGGTTAGGCCTCAATCAAATATGAATCAACAGCCCGATCTCTATTTTCCCGGGTATGGGATGAGCACCGCAAACCGGTCTCCGCGCTCATCGAGACCGGGCTACAACACCACTACCGGGCATTCCGGCGTGAACCGTATGGACCAGCGCCAGATGGATCCTGTTGGCCAAGCTCCCAACGCCCTTTTCGCAACCGAAGACCGCTTCGGTTCCTACAATGACAGCGCCTTCCGACACAATCGGATGCAGGCCTCACCGGGCTTTGCGGGGGACAACTTGATCGGGAATGCCCAATGGGGTTATAACCCAGGTGTGAACACCGTCACTGGTGCGTTGGGTGAAGGCAGGCTACGATCAGGCGCTCGGAGAGCAATTCCACAGGTGAGTTCTACCCAAGCCAGTCGCCTGGGCTAACAGACCAGGCAAAGGATATATGAGTCCCCCCCTTTGACGACCCGTGCGGCGACTAACAATAAACAGGAGTGGACGATGCCAGAACAGCCCGGGATCGGAAATCAAGCCCTGCCTCCCGTCCCCCCAGCCCAATATCCCGCCGTTGGCAGCTTCAACCCAGCCATGGGCTTGATGAACGGCGATGCCACATTTACAGGCGAACGTCACGGTTACCCATCCGCCATGTACGATCCACGCCACGAGCCCAAGGCGCTCGGCAACGACCTGATCCCGACTGCGATCGTCATCAAAAACATTCCGTTCAACGTACGAAAGGAGATGCTCACTACCATCATGTCTGAACTGGGCCTGCCCCAGCCATATGCGTTCAACTACCATTTCGACAATGGCATATTTCGTGGCCTCGCCTTCGCCAACTTCCAAAACCCAGTCGATACCCAGACCGTCATCGAGCAGCTAAACGGCTACGAGGTGCAAGGCAGGAAACTCAGGGTTGAGTACAAGAAGATGCTGCCGGAGCATGAAAGAGAGAGGATTGAGCGGGAGAAGCGAGAGAAGCGCGGCCAGTTGGAGGAACAACATCAGCCTATGCCCTTGCATTCTCAATCCTCCATGCACTCGCTTAACGCCGCCCACACCTCGAGGACTCGGAGCTCGCCGCTGCGCAAGTCCCCTGGGGAAGTCCCCACGAGAGGGGCCGCGTCGAATCAGCATGTCGGCCCGGGGGATGTGGACCTGAACAACCCAGACACGCTGAGCTTTTACACGGAGCTGATGCTCTTCAAGAGCGACCCGAGTCGGGAGATCATAGTGTTCCCCAGCACCATCACGCCGCAACAGCGGCGGACGGTTCACATCCTCGCTCACAACATGGGTCTTGAACATCGGTCTGTGGGCGAAGGCCAACACAGGCAGATCCATGTCATCAAGGATACAGGGGTCGCAGCCCCGGCCATCCACATGCCTCCTGGTGTTTCGGCCGATGCCCACCGCCGTGGTCTGAGCCGCGCTGCCACGATTGACTTTGCTGAGACACGCGGCAACGCACCCGGCCAGTTCAACACGCTTGGTCGGCAGGGTCGGCACGGCCCAACACTCGAGCTCCCCGACAGTCCCGACGGCGGGCTAAACGCGCTTCGTGGCGTCAAGTCGTTTGCCGACCTGCGGTCCTACACCCCGAGCCCTTCGCTATCCACGACATCGGGCTACCCTCAAGGGGGCAGCGGCTCTCACACTGCGAATGTAGCTCAGTACGGTGAGTACAGCGCCAGCCTCGGCCAGCCCAGCGCTTTAACCACGCCAACGACTCCGGGCGCCGCGTCCAGCGCCGAACCATCCATGTTGATCAATGAGCTGGCGACCCTCAACCTCACCGAACCCTTCAACAACGGAGCTCGCCTGCGGCCTCGTGAGGCCCCCGGCGCCATTGGGAGCCAGCGACCCGGCCTAAACGGCACCAGCACCCGCAGTGTACCGGAACGCCAGCCCCATGGGCCCAGCGGTGAATGGGGGGAGAAGATCGGGTTTGGGGGACGAGGTCGGGCCAACGGGCACATCCAAAGGGGAAGCGGTATGTTGCCAGGTACCCCCGCATCCTCCTGCAAAGCATCCCCCCATGCTAACCTAAGTTCCCCAGACTCCTCCGATAATGGAGTGCGTACCACATCGTCATCAACCTCGAGGTTCCAATGATGCACGCCTCTACTGAAGCCAACACTTCCCACAAGCACTAGCTCCGCATTTATCCTCCTCCGATACGACCCCTCGGTGTTCTCTCTCCCTACGGAAATGGGGCAAACGAAGAAGAGACCTGGCGATCGAAACACCTTGGAGGACAACTCTCCGAGTGGTATTATTGCAGCTGTGCGTGCCATTTAGGGGTGCTTAGAATCACCAGACGATTCCCGGTCACCTCCAAGTATGCCTGGCATTGTAATACTCTCTTTTCTTCTTTTTTCTTCTTCGATGTTGTTCTCAGAAGCAATCGGCGCTGTTGATCCATCGCCTGGGTTCGTTCTCTTTCACCGACCAGGGTGTGACATTTCCCCCATCCCATGGGTTCAAAGATCCAAGCATCATTAAGCTGAAACACCTGGCTGTTTACCAATCAGTGTTTTACCGGACGACGTCGGCTCTTTTTTTTCCGCTCCTTTTCCACTTTCCTTCGCAGAGCCCAATTTTCAAGTCTCGATAATGACGACAATGATGGGGATATACTGATACAAGACTCCGATGTGGACGAAAAATTTGGGATAAACACTCACGGCCCTTTTACACCTCACATGGGCAACCATCTCCTCCGAGAACCTGCTCCCGGACTTGGCGCAACGCGTTCATTCGCCCTCCCTTCCGCTTGTCTCACCCGCAGAGCACTCGGGTGCCCAATACGCTCTCGCCAACCTCACCCGTCGCCGGCCGGCCTCAAAACGCTGTTTCAGAAGGGAGGAACCCATATCGATCGTCCCGGCTCCTTCGGCGTCATTTGATGGCCCGGCCTTACGAATGTTACGGTGTTACGATGTTCATGTCATGGATGGCTATGACCAACTTCCACCTATTTCGGTGGATTCTCCCCCCCGCGAATCATTCCGTCGAAAAGCACGGAGAAAAAATGGAAAAACGCAGCGGAAATGACAACATAAAAACGATATCCATCTTAATACCGCGACTCTGCCGTTTTCTAGCCTTCTTGTATTTTCCCTTGGTAGGCACATGGACGCGGTTCGATGGCACTCGGTCGTGTGTGTGGCCAGAGCTATGACCCAGGGCAGGAGGGAGTAGGAAGAGGGGGGGCGGAGGAAGATTTCTAAAAAGAGCAGAAAATTCAAAAGTGTTGTCTCGGTCGACGCCTTATCATATATGAATTGCATTTGGATGGCCGTTTTGCACGAGCGTATTTAAGCCGTTCACGTACTCTTTAATATATTTGCTGCTTTTTCCCACTGATTTTCCCCTACAAATGCCGTTGCTTTATTCGCGTTATGAAGACCCACACCATTAACACAGTAGTTGTGGGATGATTATTGAACCTCAGTGACTGGCGTCCCTCCCTGTAATACACCTCCTATCGCATGTATTTAATACCTAAGTATTCCCTCAACCAAGTACCTATCAAATAAATGATAAATTTAGGTCGATTGAAGATGGAGAGAAACAATTTCATCCACCGGACTATTGATCAAGTGAAGAGGTACCCGTCCTCCATGCGATAACCAGGTTCGCGTGGCTTGTCATTCTAATTACTGAAGTAGTTCCTCTTTCCCAGCTATTTTGAGGGTATCCTGTACCGCCCGGAGCACAAGACCATGGAGTTTTGATGGGGCCGCCACGAAGCCAAAGTTAACCGAGAACTTTCTGCCTACCGTCAAATCGATATTTTTCCCATGTACGTCGGTAATCAGGCCCCCGACCTCTTCAAATAACAACATAGCCCCAGCATGGTCCCAGATCTTAGCATAACGGTCTCTCCTTTTATACACCCAGACGGTCGTGTTAGCAGCGCCCAGGGCCATCACAACCCATCTTGGAACCCAACCAAGCAGATCACAGCCAGGGAATGCGATATTCAACCGTTCAGCAACACCCTTGTGAACCACGTCCACGCCAGAGTCGAGAGCAGCCCAACAGGTGACGGATCGGAGGTCCTCAGGACCTACAGCATCGTCCGCATGGCGGGGGATTCTTCGGGATTGTGCTTCGTCGGGCGCGGCAAACAGCGGCCGGACATAAGCTCCATGGCCACGCACGCCATAGAGAAGGGCACCCCTTCCGGTCGAGTCAACGCTGTCATCGTTAACGGGGGCGGCCGTGGTGGTCGCAGATAACAGCGGGCAGGCCACGACGCTGAGGACCTGGCGCCCGTCTTCGATCAGTGCAATGTTTATGGCGTACTGCTGGCCGCGGATGAATGTCTTAGTGCCGTCGATGGGGTCAAACACCCAGAACCTACCCGCGGCGCTAGGAGTGAGCGTGGCGCAGGAATCGATGGCGTCGCAGATATCGGTGGGGTCGTGGAACAGTGGTGAGGAATTGGAAGCAGCGGAGAAAGAGGAAGAAAATATGGCGGAGATACGGGCTAGGAGCTTGGGGTTCTCTCTCAGCTCATCGGCTGATTCCTCGCCCACGAAGCCATCGTCCGGAAAGGCATTGTGGAGAGTGCGTGTCAACAGAGCTTGGATGGCAAAGTCGGCAACGGTGACTGGACTCAAGTCGTCCTTGACAAGGCCGAAGCTTCCTTCTCCTTCTACCTTTAGTGCCGCATCGGAAGGAACCTCCCTAGCGCCTGCCGCCTGTGAAGCTGCCGCGAGGACATCGCGGCTAATCCTTGCGGCCTTTTCAGCCACCGCTATGGCTGCCTGGAGCTCCCGGTGGTACGGGCTGTCCATTTTGAGGTCGCGTTCTGATGGCAGCGCAGAAGGCGGGCAATCGTGGCGTACCTGGTGATCTACGAGTCTATCAGTGGGAGTTATGCCCGTTTGGAGAGGGTCATGACAGACAATTACACCACAGGCAGTTGCTGATGTTAAGTCACTGCTAGACCTAGTTATCCCCTCGCTCTGTGTGTCGTTGTACTGAGAAGGCGAGGGGGCAGCTTGGTTGTTGGTGAATTGGGGAAAGGGTGACAAATTGATATGCTTCAAAGTTCAAAGGAGCAAACCAGAGCGAACCCGAGTGCTCATTAGCGACAACAAAATAGCGCTCCTGGCCAAGCGGAGAGAGGGTTTTGCTCCACATTTTATTACATTGGTGACAACCCACACCAAGTGAACAATGACAACGTGATTACCTGGGGATTTATTTATTGAGTGAATCTAGGTATTTATTTATTGAGTGAATCCGTCGAAGTCCAAGGACGACCAACCCTTGAGAAAGCTTATCTCAGGGTCTCAGCCACAGCTTTCCGGGCTTGGGGCGTCACAGGTCCGGATACTTCAACCCAACAATTCCCACCAATCACAACACACACACACCAACAGCGCCAACTGGTCTGAGCCTTGCTCCTATGGCCAAAAAAGCGGCAGACCAAGTCCCTGGATAACTTACTTTGCTACAGAAGTGAAAAAAGACAAAAAGAAGAAACCCAAAAAAAGTGAAAGAAGACAAAGAAGAATAAATCCAGAGAGTGACAAGACAAAAAATAGTAAATCAATCAAAATTTACCAAGATTTGATCGAATGTCAATGGATTGGACTTGAGCTAACTATCTGTTTGAGTGTGCCGCTTTTTTTGGCCACAGCGAGCCTAGTAGGCGGGGTTTGGGCAGGTGGGCAGGTGGGCAGGTCTATCACCAAAAAATATTGAACCGCGCGTGGTGTTGTTTAAGCACCTCTTCACCGTGGAGCCGAAGAGGGGCAGTCTCACGGGGAACGCGGGTAGCTGTGCGAAGGTGGACGCTCATTCGTGACGGCCCCAACTATCCATTGGCTACACCAGAACGGCAAGAGAAAGGTAGCGACCATGAGAGCTGAGAATGGAGGATGTACCGTTGATATAGACCAAGAAAAGAAACAGTAGGTACCTGTCATTCCAAGAAACACCAGCGGCAAGCCGGACTGGGATGGATTTCCAAGGCCATTCTTGGCTCCATGCATGCTCACGAGTCTGGCAATCTTGGTGGTGGATGAACTTGACTTGATTTCCAGTCTCGGGGGAGTTTTGACCGTAGGCCGAATCAGAATGCCCGAATGACCGAGACCCTGGCCAGAGGATGTGCAGGATTGCAAGGGACTGGGTTGGGGTTGTTGGAGATTCTGGGGTTCTACCCCAGCCTCTCCGGATATTCATGGTGCGGGCTGCTGTATCAATCCTAGTATCATCGAAGCTGTCACATTGCATATAAACCCCGCTCTCGGTCTCCTAGAGTCATAATCATGGTTTGCAACTCTTCGCGATCTGCGGTGGATGACACCCCGACTGTGAACGAGACGCCTCATTGACTACCTACCTTACCTACCTACCTAGGTCTTTGACCTTCTACCCCCTGAGAGGGAGAATATTACCGGGATCGCAAGCAGCGCGCAAACTTCCTCTTCGCTGTTCGTCATGGCGACGACCACGACAACGACAACGGTACAAGTCAGCCACGTCCAAAAAGTGGTGGACCAGGATCTCGAGGAGAAACTCGGGCAGAACGCCATATTTCAAGCGAAGCAGGCGACAGACGATGAGCATGCCCAGACCTTTATGCAAGCCCTGCGGGAGAACCGCAGGGCGGTCTTCTGGTCCATCATGATCTCCCTGTCGATTATCATGGAGGGGTACGTTTTAGTAGGCCTAACGGATGTCCCCCGAGCTGCCCCTGAGTTGCCCCTGAGTTGCGAGGTTGGTTCCGCTGAGTGCTGAACAGTGGCAATAATTAACGTTGGCGCCTTAATTAGTTACGACACCATTCTCATCGGCAATTTCTTTGCTTATCCCGAGTTCGCCAAGAAGTTTGGGCAGGACTATGGAGGCACCACCGGCTGGCAGGTCTCGGCCTCGTGGCAGACGGGGTTGAACATGGCCAGCACGGTTGGTGGTATTTTCGGCGGTCTCATGAACGGATACTTTGCCTCCAAGTTTGGCTACCGTTGGGTCCTGATCATATCCATGGGATTCCTGAACGGCTTCATCTTTGTCGTCTTCTTCGCCCCCAATGCTGCTGCCCTGGTAGGCGGCCAGATACTTTGCGGACTCTGCTGGGGTGTCTTTGCGACGCTCAGTCCCGCATACGGTGAGTCAAAGTTACTGCTTTCTCTCTCACACACACTAATTATTCTCCAGCTTCCGAGGTCTGCCCTACTAACCTGCGTGGCTACATGACCACTTACGTGAACCTCTGCTGGGCCATTGGTCAGCTCCTAGCCAGCGGTGTTCTTCGAGGCTGCCTTCCCATCGTGGGCGAGATGGCGTATAAGATTCCCTTCGCCGTCCAGTGGATCTGGCCGGTTCCTCTCATGATTATTGCGTACCTTGCTCCGGAAAGCCCTTGGTATCTCGTTCGCACAGACCGGCTCGACGAAGCAAAGAAGTCTATCATGAGGCTTAGTGGGGACAAGACGGATGAGCAGGTGGACGCACAGCTGGCCATGATGGTGCATACGACCAGACTTGAGGCTGAGGTTACCAAGGGCGCCAGCTATCTCGACTGTTTCCGCGGTGTTGATCGTCGCCGCTCTGAGATCTGCATGCTAGCTTTCATGGGCCAAATCTTGTCAGGGAGCAGTTTCGCGTATACTCCGACCTATTTCTTCACCACTGCTGGCATGGAGACGTACAATGCCTTTAATCTCAGCCTCGGTGCCAAGGGGATGGCCTTCTTGGGAACTGTCTGGTATGTACATCCGTAAACCTTTCTCCATCTTTATTTGTGATTGATGTTTTGCTGACCGCTTCCACCTCGGACCTCGATAATTAGTTCTTGGTGGCTCATCACATATTTTGGCCGACGAACGATCTATGTGACGGGAATGGCCATCCTCACAGTTATTTTATTTATCATCGGCATCCTCGACGTCTCGGCCAGCTCGAGGGGACTCTGGCCGTCGGGCGGGCTGTGCGTCTTCTGGCTCTTCACCTACTCCCTCACCATCGGGCCGCTGGCGTACAGCATCATTTCGGAGACATCGAGCGTGCGGCTGCGGCCGCTCTCGGTCGTACTCGCCCGCACCGCCTACCAGATCACCAATATTGTGTCCCAGGTACTGTACAGCTACATGCAGAACCCGACCGCGTGGAACTTCAAGGGAAAGTCGGGCTTCTTCTGGGGCGGCACCGCGTTCCTTATCTTTGTCTGGGCCTACTTCCGCCTGCCCGAGATCAAGGGCCGCACGTACGAGGAACTGGATATCCTGTTTGCAAACAAGACGCCGGCGCGCAAGTTTGCCGAGTCGCACGTCGACGCGTATGCTCAGTCGGGTTCAGCTGCGGAGCATACGCATGCTCAAGAAAAGTAAGTAGGTACCTAGGTACCTACCAAGGTAGCGACGGGGCAATATGCCTAGGGAGAGAGTCATCTGGTAGCACAGCTTCCTTAACTATGTAACACCGAGTGGATTTGACCTCGTCGACACGTTGAAGAATTATGTGGAGGTTGCTCCTTTTAAGTTATATCACACCGATATTCAGCGTATTACCGTCGCCCTTTTGCCGTCCAAGATTTTCCTCGATCCTAAAGCCAGCCTTTGGAGATATTTATTGATTAAGGAGAATCCCACGAGGTGCCTTTTCCCCTAATATAGACGACTGAGGTGGGTTGTAAGGTACCATGGGCACAAGTACATATATGACCCTTCCGACATCAAGAACTGATTGTCCAACAACAACTAGTGTAGAGCGCAAATTCACCACTCCGTCGAGTCCATCACTGCACCTTTGACACAGCAAAGGACAGCCTACGCCAGTTGGCAGGGATCCCGGGAATGTTCACCGGCGCCAGGTTTCCCGTAACACGCCACTTGGTGCCAGTCTTTTCACCAATCACATCCCACAGCTTCTGAAAACTCTCGATGTTGTGGTGATACCGCGTGCCCTCACCGGCCTCGCGGTACATGTCCGTGGAAAGCGGCTCCTTGACACCGATCTGCGTCCCCAGCAGCAGCGCCCCCGTTGCGTCGGGCTTGAAGAAGCGCACGACGCGCTCGCCCAGACGCACCTGATCGTCCCACCCAAACAAGTGGAACAAGCTGGCCGCGTGGACGATATCGAACCCGCCGTCGAAGGTCCGCAACCCCTCCGCGTCCGGATCCGAGTCCGGACCATCCAGATCAGGGCTCAACAAATCGCCCGCGACGAACCGCACGCCCGCAAAATCGTCACGGTCGCGGTCACGGAACAGCTCGTAGCCGAGCTCGATGAACTCGGGGCGCAGGTCGGTTCCCGCCAACGCAGCAGCCGGCACACCATCGACTACCAACCGCCGCAGCACCTGCCCAAAGCAACAGCCGACGTCCAGTAATGTCTCGCCGGCCCCCGGCGCTCGCAGGCGGGCGAGCACCGTCGGGTACTCTGGCAACTCAGTCATGGGGGAGCGGAGGAAGGCCCAGCGGCCGAGGCAGGGGTACGGCCGCACCGCGTACGCTTTGTCGCGCTGAGGGTTGGCTATTAGCTAGGGTATCTTAGGGAAGGGGTGATTCAAAGGGGTTCTCTCTCGGAAAAGGTTCCGGGAGAGTCGGACACTCTGCACTCACGATGGCTTTAACGTGAGTTTCAATCCCGCCAGGTGGGATGCCGCTGTACGTCTCGAGGATCGTCCATGCCTTGGTGAGACCTGACTTATCGGCTGGGAGGTCATCCAGGTAGCACCAGGAACCGAGGTCCTGGTTTTCAGCCATGTTCTCTTCGTGTTGGGTATGAGTTGGGTGTGACTTGGAATTAAACGGCTACCGAGCGAGGTGGAGGTGTGTAGTTGGTTGTGTGGGTGTGTAATGTGTTAAAAGTTGGGCGGCATCCTGTTCACCTTATATAATTATGTTTAATGAAGACAGTGCAGGCCGAACCGTCCAAGCGGAAACACCTGGCCGCGCAACCCGACAATTATCTACGTCGGCCCGACGTAGATAATCACAACAGGGCTCATCACTCGGCCGAAATGCTGACCACTCGGCCGAGACGCCGGCCGCGCTCCTACCTTACCTAGGTATCTTCCCCGCACTGAGTCACCGACGGCACCCGTCCCGGGGAGGCCGAAAGCTCCCGGTTCCCCTATCGGCCTGCGTGTATGGCTGAGGAGGCGTTCTGGTCCGCCAGAAACGTCAAGACCCGACAGCAATAAGCCTTTTTCCGAGGAACTTAGACTAGCTGCTGTGTTGCACAAGAGTTTAACGAAACCATATCTGACGTTGTCGACCCGGAAGCTTGATTGGCCAGTCGGAAGAGATTGCGGGGTGATGATGATCGCGGGCGTAGGGTGAGGCTAGCTCAAATGCCCTACTAAAGAGTGAGGTTCAAGTCATACTGGTTAACAGGAGTCAACGAAGGAGCCCAAGATGGGACCAAAGAAAAGTGATAACAACAGAAGTCGTCCACCAAAACTAGGGGAGTCAGACCGATGCTCAAGAGCCCATCGTGGAGGAATCGTAGCGAAAGATGAGGGGGCTTCAAAGACCCCATCGTAAAGATAGGAAATGAAGAAAGCTCCAGTGTCCTGGGCCAGCTGTTTTGTGTATGGAGGTCAGCAAAATTATTTGTCAAGCTGACGAGGCGGTTTGATTTCTCGCTAGCAGATGGTATCAGGCCTGTAATCGTCAAGTCGTAGACTGTTTTGGTAGTATATGGGATAAACGTGAGGCTTATAGCCCGGCGAGAGAGGGGGTATTTGGGGGGAAGGGGTGATGGACTGAGGGTGTTTGTGGCAATTAATTCTTTGTTATAAGCTACCAGTTGGTTACTACAAGCCTCAATGACGGGAGAAGTATTCTAGGAATATAGGGTACGCTGAACCGCCAATACGTCGAGTGCCTTACCTAGACAGCTTCCTTCTAAGACATTCCTAGATCATCCCGTTTCGTAAGGCCAGGTTGCGAGCCAAGGTCGGTAGACATTTTCTTGTAAGGACGATTCTTCGATGGAGCCACTTCAATGGAACCAACAGATCTATCAGCGGGTCCTATCCAACCCAGATCCCTTCCCACGACTTAGCTCATTGGCCGACATTGAGATCTTTCTTGGCTGGCGCTAGATTAGGTACCTTAGTCTTTCTATCGAGCCTCCCTGGTAGCAAGCTCGACCGGCTCCAGAACCCCAGCCTATAAATCCAACCCAACGGTCCCAGATGTCTAGACGCGAATTAATTAATTACTACAAAAGGTGTCACATACCGTATATTTCCGCGAACCATGAGGTACACCAAGTACATGTTTATCGACAAGGGGTGGGACTCGGAGGAAGGGGTATAAATAGAACGCCTTCCGATCTGGATCAGGCTTCTCAAGACTCCATTCAACGCGAGACTTTCCAAGATTCTGCGGCCGGTTGGCCGGACATCCACTCCTCTTTAGCGACACATACAGACTATGTATGCCCCTTTTTTCATTCCCGCCGCTTTTCTCGGCCCTAGAACCCCCCTTGATTGAATGAGCCGTGCTATGGGGAAGGGCCGAAGCGATGGACGGGGAACAATTACTAGCGGGGTTTATGATCACATATGGTGTTTGATGGTGGACTGCGTCTGGGCGTTGCCGGCTGCTTTCCTGTCAAGCTCGGCCAACGTCTGGGCAAGCCATCGTTTCCTGGGTGACGATCCCTCATTATTATTGCCCCGTTTCGTTCCGACTGGCATCCATCCTTCCATGATGCAACACCAAAAGCACCACCCTGTTCCCCCACCCCCCGTGGGCAACCGAGAGAACCGAAAGAACCGACTGGGTTTTTTTTCGGATTCACATCTCTGGCACCCTAGCAGTAGCCCCTCCAGGCTCGCCGATATTGCCAATAATAGTTCCCTCGGGTGTCTCCGTCGATACACCGCACGTCACTCGGCAGGCCTCTACCGCCGGAGAAAATTTTCTTAATCTATGCATGTAGATGCCATGTGTGCGGGCAACCGGCTGGGGGTTGAAGGTGGCGAACAAGGGTGGACTGTGTGATCTCGGGCAATTATGTTCAGGGTAGATATTGGGGGGGGGAGGTTCAGGGGGGTAGAGGGGAAGGGTAGTAGTCTTGGGGGGTACGGCGCTTTTATCCGGCAGGCTTGGGGTCAGGGAGCGAGCGAGTAAGTGGCCGAGTGAGGACTACGGGAAGCCAGTCAGTGACGTGTAGCTCTTTCTTACCCCATTCATTGACCTTTTAATAAATAACAGCCATCCACAGCTCCGGCAATTGTCGTTGGTCGCAGCAGGGGGGGGCTGCGGAATAAGACCGGGGCCGCGCTCAACACCAATCACCGATATTATACCCAAATGTCAGAAGCCTTTTCCAACTTGTTCGGTCACATCGGCAGTTGTTGGTTTTCTGGAACACCTGAACGCCGTGCGCCCGAGCCCATGGCTCAACCGGGTCGTGGCCGTCCCCACGAGGAACGGAGTGACGTCCGAAAAGGAAACAAGCACGAAAATCGAGGAAAAGGGACCAGGGAAAGGAAGGAGGGGAATGGCCGTAAGTATGCTATGGTCCGGAATCAATGGCTAAGCGGATTGGTATAAAATCAGGTGCGCAGTCTTCCTTTCCAGGCGTTTTCGCGGGTTCTTAAAAGCCCGACATCCTCTCCCTCGTCGTGTTGTCTCCCTTTGTTGTTTCCTCTTGTTTTTTTAACTCCCCATCGTCACAAATCAGCTCATTGACTTATTTCACCCCCTTAGCCAGTCGTGGACGAGAGGGTCAACTAAGACACGGAGACCAACCGACCGACTTCACCCAAGACAACAAGACAAGAGAAAGAAAACAGGTCGTTAGCTGGTAACAATGCATCACTGGCTTACCCTCGCTGCCGCGGCCGCGCTGATGGCCAACGGCGCCGTCGCGCAGTTCAACATGCTGCGTTTTGCCTGCTCCCAGCTCGTCGTTGACCGGATCGACCCCCTAGTTAACCCAGGCGTGCGCTACTCCCCCCATCTCCACCAGATTGTCGGCGGTAACTCGTTCAACCTTACCATGACGCCCGTCGAGTACGACCTGGCCAAGCTGTCGACCTGCACCTCCTGCAGCTTTGCCCAGGACAAGTCCAACTACTGGACGGCCGTCATGTTCTTCAAGCACAAGAACGGCTCCTACCACCGCGTGCCCCAGATCGGCAATGGCGGACCGCAAGGAAAACTCGTCAACAACGGCGGTCTTGACGTCTACTACATCCCCAGTGGCAAGGTCACTGCCTTCAAGCCTGTAAGTGTGGTGTGCTGATGAGGAGGGAAAAGGAAGTAAAAGTGGAGAGAGAGAACAAGGACTCGACCAAAAAAGGGGGCGAGGGGAAGAAGAAAAAGGGGTGCGGAAAGTCAGGAAAAGAAGACGAGACAATACCGCAAACGGCCCAGACTAACACTTTTGCTTCTTTCCTTCTTCCTTAATTCAGGGTTTCCGTATGCTTGCGGGCAACGCTGCCAACTCCGATGACGGCCAAGTCACCAAGGGCAACATCTGCCATCGCTGCTGGACCTCGACCAGCGAGGACAACTTTGTGGGCGGTGCGCCTTGTACCGGCAGCGACACAGTTGCAATCCCTGCCAACCCTCAGTGCAAGATGATCCGCCAGACCATCATCTTCCCGGCGTAAGCCAGAGTTTTCCTTCAGTCGATGACTTTTTATAGGATGGTATGATTGGAAAGCTGACAACGCACCATTGACCAACAACAGATGCTGGGATGGCACAAACTTGGACTCGCCCGATCACAAGTCCCACGTCGCCTACAGCGGTACCGGTGCCAGCGGTGGCGGTGCCTGCCCATCGACCCACCCCGTTAAGCTCCCCCAGGTCATGTACGAGCTCATGTGGGATGTCAGCCAGTTCGACCAAAGCATGTGGCCCGCCTCCGGCTCGCCGTTCCTGTACAGCATGAACCTTGGGTATGTGTATCCTCTTCCAAGAACCCCTTAAGTCCACCGCAACGTAGAGCAAGACTAACCTGTAACCCTTCGTTTTCCTACCCGCCAGTGGCTCTGCTGCCCACGGTGACTACGTCTTCGGCTGGGAAGGTGACAGCCTCCAGAAGGCCATGGACAACAACTGCAATCTCAACACCGACTGCGCGGCTGCCGGTATCACTGCTCAGAAACCCGAGGTGTACAACGCTTGTACCATCGATCAACAGGCTCCCGAGCCCGTCGACGGATGTGAGTGGCTTCCTTCATTCATTTTCTTTATTGATCACATGTTTCCGACTTGGGAAGAAAATGAAGACGAAAAGTTTGCGGGGAAGGGTACGAACGGCTAACGTTGTATTCACAGGGCTTGCTTCCATGCCCATGGGTGAGATGGCCGTGCGGGCTTAAAGCCAAGATTGCTGGCCCTCATTGAAGCCAATCCTCGGCTGGAAAGGGGCTGGTTTTATTTGATTAAGTCATGGACCTCGTTTGCTTCGGGGGGATTCTCGCGGCCGATGCCCGCATTGGACCGGGATCTCCCAACTGCATACCCACAATCAATCACATCTCGGGGGAAGGAGCATCTGACATGAATTTGGAAATCGTTCTTTCCGACGGAGATTTATGAGCCGCGCCGGCTGGTTTCCCATTCCCAGGTACTTAGGCACCAATCTGTACTCGAGCCATATTGCGATTTCGTCACTTTCTGAGCGGTCCCACCATTATCATCATACATTCTGTATCCCTAAGAATTGAACGAAGCTGTATTTTGTCCTGCCCGCTCTTAACCGTCCCGGTTGACACCCCCATGCCTCCTTACCGACGAGAGTGGATAATGGATTAGGCCCTAGTTTGGCCATCTTGGGATTCAGGGCTCGGAAATTCGCGTGCCTCTTCTCGTCCCTCTTCCATACACTGATAGTTCCCTGGGTGATCCTATAATTAATCTTTGCATGTTTTCGACGACGCGATGCCGGCCTCTGCTTTCACACACATCTAGCCTCAGTCGACTCATGAACTCCAAACACTACTTTGCACATCGACACCGTGCTATCGCTCGTCTGGATACTCATTTTGACCCCTAGGCCTTCGGTGTGTTAAGTTGGTGAGATTACACACTCGAGCGCACCAGCCCACGGGACGGATTCAGCGTTGGTTGTGATTAACGACCTATATCCACCACCAAGACCAGGAAAGGGAAGAGGGAGTAAAGGAGATAAGTAATCATCGAATGCCCGACACAGGCCTACGGAGCTCGACTTTCTTTCGACCTAACGACCGGGGGCGGAAGATGATCCCAAACGAAACATCTGGTAGATTGGTCGGGCTTGGTCTCCCAGCGCCCAGATATTAGCCCCCTTGCCCAACACAGCAGGTCGGGGAAAAAAGACACTCAAGCGCCAACTAAGGTCGCCAAGGTTGGATCCAAAGTTGAGTTCCGACGTCTGTTTTTTGTTTTCGGGGTTTTTTCTGTTTTTTAATTTACCAGATGCGGTTTCTTGCCGCAAGCAAGGCAAGAGGAAGCCTATCACCCGCCGTGCCCGCTCCAAAGTAAGTAAAGCGGACGGTACGATGCTACGCAGCCCGCAACCCGCATGCCCAAAACCCCCGCGCCCATCCCCACCCTGGCACCTGCGGAGAAAGATGGCAGAGGGTCGTATCCGTTCGGAAGATTAACTACTACGCGTCGGAACTTAAATGTGTGGCCCCTTGGCGGGATCGACATGCTGGGTCGCAGCACGACAACAAGAGGCAGCCCACTCAGTTGCCCGTCCACGCCACCCTCTCTTTTCCTGGTTTTCCTAGCGTTTCGAGAAGGCGACCAAGGCCTGGTATGTGCAGTACGTATTTAATTTAATCTGCCTAAATCCCGGCCCCCTCCCCTCGCGCGAGCTCTTTGGTGGAAAAATTCTTAGAAGAGTTCCCGAAACGCCGCCGATCCCATGAGGCCGCCTCAACGGGGTAAGAAACAAAGGCCGGGTGGAATTCTAATGTTAAGTTTCGGTTTGTTGGGCAAGGCCACCCAGCTGGTTCGTAAGAGAATGTCATGGAGCATGTGAGAGTCATCTTCGCACTGGGGATTCTCGTGTTCTCATCATTATTCCCTATCATCACTATCCTAACCCCCTTGGTCCATCTATCCGTCCGCCCGTCCGTACGTCCATCCCGGTCTGTATCATTCATGGGACACCTCGAAGGTCTCCCACTCCAAGCCCCCGCCTTTCCTTATCAAGCCGTCCCACCATCCATGCTAGGTTCCGTTAACCACGAAAGAACAAGAAGAAAGCGAAGAAAACAAAAACAATGAGCCCGATGAAGCCAAACAATCCGTTGTTCAAATTACAAATACCCATGTGTATCACCTATTTCGTTGTTGCCTTGAAACACACGGGGGTGTCTCCTCAAAAAGCAACCCCTGACGTCCCCCTCCCAACCGTTTTGAAGCCGTAACTCATCCATTGGCCATCACTCTGCAGCGTGTCAAAGCGACTCGCGCCATTGGAAGGGTCATCCATGGCGTCAGCTCCATAACCGCTCAGATAAAAGCCGGCAATGACAACGAGATAGCTCAGCAGCAGGATGCTGCCCTTGAAGTAGTTGCTCTTGCCCTCGCCGTACATGTAGCTGAGGAGGAAAACGCACAGGATGACGGTCACCATATCCCACTGCGGGAAGAGCAGGCTGAACGTGTACCGCGCCGCTTCTTCGGCCGGCACCTTGAGCGTGTGGACGGCCGAGAACAGGACGAGCGCGGGTACCTGCAGCAAGCAGACCTGCAGGGCGTATGCAGAGCCAATTTCCATCGAGAGCGCAATGTTGCCGTTCATGGCGAAGGAAATGGCGTTGAGAAACTCGGTGGTGTTGGGCACCAAGGCGAAAAGGGTGATGCCCAGGAACTTTTCGTCAATGTCAAAGCTCTCCAGCACCACGTCGACGGTGTCAACGAGGATCTCGGCAATGATGGCGTAGAGCACCGTGGCGCCCATCAAAATGATGGAGCTCTTGAGTCGGCTCCAGTTGGGCGCGTCGTGGCCCCCATGCCCACCTGCCGCTTGGGTGGCCCCGGCCTGGCCCAAAGGGTCCTCTTGGCCAGGGACCAAAGCGGCACTGCGCGGCAGGCCCGTGGTGTTGTTTGCGGACGAGGGCAGTTGCGGTGCCGGCATCGAGATCGTACCCGGCGGGCCTCGTCGCGAACCACCCTGAACGTTCCTAGCAGCAACGGTGGCCGCTGTGGCCGCAATCTCGGCGACCTGATGAACAAGGTTAGTGTTCTCGGCGTCGGTAAACCCGGGGATACTGATGCTATGGCTAGCAATGTCGGTCGTGCCGTAGCTAGTAGTTGCTTTGGGCGGGACCAGATGAGGTGTGCCATTGGGGACACCACCAGGCCCTCCTGTGAGGGGCGTCGTCTGCCGCGCGTCCTCATCCGAGCGAGGGTACTGCCCAACCTGCCGGAGGGACTGGCCTAGAATACGCTTGTACAGGTGCGAGTCTCGAATATCCACACCGCTCGCGTCACCAATCGAAACGTTGCCGATCGGGCGAGGCGTCGGGTGGGGAGTGATGTGGTCGTCGTGCTTCTTCTCCTCTGCCTCTGTGTTCCAGATCACAGCCGCATGTGTGCGGAGAGTGAACCAGAGACCAATCACGTATGACATGAAGAGCATAGTCGCAGCGAGATAACAGTACGGACGCACGGCCTCGATGTAGAATCGGTCGCTCAAAGCAGGCGTTTGCGAGAAATAGCAGCGGCGGCAGTCCCGCAGGGCACCACCGCTGTTCCCAGGCTTGTCAAAGTTGATGCAGTCCTGGCACGTCAGTTCGTGGGTGCCGTAGATCTGGTAGAACAGCGTTGGGCCAAAGGCGCCGATCACGGCGAAGAGAAGCATGGTGGACGTCACGCCGGCCGATTTGGAGTTGAAGCGTTGCGTCTTGCGCTTGATAGCACCAAAGCACATGGACAATCCGGGCAGGAAGAGAACGCCGGCAAAGATGCTCCCCACAATGCTGCCTTCCACGAGCTGAGCTTTGCCCTGCTGAAGAGCAACGCAATACAGAAACACCTCGACAATGGTGGAGAAGAAGGCGTTGATGGCAGCACCCAACCCCATCGACGACTGGGCCGAGATGGAGGCCACGGCCTGGCCGATGAAGTAAGCCAACGGGATGATGGACAGAAGGCCCGAGACGAACAGGAAGGCGGGGGACGTGAGGAAGTTCTCGACGTGCAGCAGCCCGTCCAGCACGAGCCAGTCGAAGATGACGAATCCGACAATAGCCATCAGGTTGATGAGAAAGATGTTGGTCCCGTCAATGGTGTACTTCCAGTACTTGAGACCGACGGCGCGGTACGTGCAGACTAGAATGGACGAGTGGGGGACCGCAGGCCCGCGGGCTGACACAATGTCCGACTCAAAGGAGAGGGCAAGGGGATGGCGCCGGAGGTGGGAGAAGAGCAGCATCGTGATCTTGCCCATCGGGATCGTGAACACCAAGAACCAGCAAATCGCCGAGACGATGAAGAGCGAGGGCGTGATCAGAAAGTAGAAAAAAGCAAAGAAGATGACACGACCGACGTTCCACTCCCCGCGTCCAAACAGCCTTCGCTTGGTCCGCGGCAGTACATCGTCGTCGTCGAACACCTGCCCACGATTCCGACCCAGAAGACTTTCCGTCTCATCGGGCTCCGAGTCGAGGCTCCTGCGGGACTGGCCGATGATGGAGCGGTTTCCGTCCGGGCCGAAAAACAGGCGTCCATACTCGAGGTCGCCGCTCTGCCACTGCTCGTATTCGCTGATGCTCCGGCCTTCGCCTTGGTCTTCGTCAAGGTAGGCTTCTTGCTGCTCCAGGCGGACAAACTTGCCAAAGGGATAGAAGAGGTAGCTAGCCAAGCCCCACAGTATACGCCCATACCCCCGGCCACTGGGCGTGGCAGCGAACAGAAAGCACACGAGGGCGCCGGCGAAGGCGATGAGCGCCATCCACCAACCAAACGCCAAGGTCCAGACAAGGTTGAAGAACAAGAGCCAGGCACTGACCCGGCCGCCGGGGGACGAATGGATGTCGCCCTCGGCCGTCTTTTGTACAGACCGGTTCTTTTTGTACAGTGCTGGTTTCCACAGCCGGATACCAAAAGGGTGGGTCTCGTTTATGGCTTGTTGCCGGTCTTTGAGCGTGAAGCTCTCGGCATCGCTAATGTCCCCGTCGTCGTCGTCGTCGTCGTCGCCGTCGTCATCTTCGGGGGCCGCCGAATCATCGGGATGATCTGGCTCCGCTACGCTTTCCCCGAGGTCATCGGCTGGGTCGTTATCGACGGGGTCGGGCCGTGGATCGGTGGCTGTCACGCCGCTTCCGGCCTCATGATCATCCTCTACGCCAGCGTTTGAATGAATCCTCGAGAGCGGCGGCGCTGCACCGGTTCGTCTTCGTACTGTGGTGGTGTAACTCTGCTGGCGCTCGGCGGCGTCAGCCTCAACCTCGGCGATCCCATCGTCCACCGAGAAGACACCGCCTCGGTACGGTGCTTGTGCGTTGGAGGAGGCGCGTCGCGCCATGGGCGGTTTGCGCGGGCGCGGTCTCGAACTCCCCGGGGTTCCCGGAGCCCCGAGTCGTAATGTTGGGAGCTCGGCATGCGGGGGTATACTGTCGGAACGGGAAAGACTCCCAAGAATCGGGCTGTTCATGGAGCCTGTAACAAAAGGGGCGACAAAGTTAGCCGCCAAGGATGCTCCTCCTCTTCTTCCTCGAGGGTAGTTGTGGGAAGGGGTCTTACTTTCTGGTCGACGGCGCATCGTGTCGATTGCCTGGAAACCATCGAAGCTTTGGTCATCGTCCTGGGATGAGACGTTGGGGAACGACGGCCGTGTCGCATCAGTGGGAGAGCGGTCGGCCGATGAGTCGCGGCCGCGCCGCGGAGAATCCATCTTGGAAAAGGGTATGAGGGGAAGACAGCCTAAGGCGAAGCAGACGAAACAGAGACGGCGCTGCTGAGACTAGTTTGGTGATGAGCGCGCCAATGGCCACGCCCGGATTGCGTCAGTGGTCTTAAGCCTGGGGGCTGCACTCGCTTCCTGATACCATCAAGCCGGATGAGGTTCGGAGCAGTCGTGGGAGGTCGTAGTGAGGCGGTTACAGCGAGTAGCACGGGTAGAACGGGTTTGCGGTAGCATTCTCTATCTCGTAGATAGGCGATATTCAGGACGCTACTTCGTGCCGACGGTAATTATGGTGGTTATGGCGGGGCGGTTCGGATGCCAGGTGTTGATAGGGAGGACAAGAGGGAGATTGGGGGCCTCAATAGAAGTAAGTGAGGTCAGGTAGGTGGTTTTTCAACGTGAGGCGACAACTGATTTAGCTTTCCGACGTGTGGGATTGGGAAGGTCCGATGGATGGTCGATTCGTCTAAAGGCTGACGGCTGATGGGAGTTCCTCGAGTCACGTCTCCACCCCGAACACGCCGAGTCCAGAACCAACAGAACAAGACCGATCAAGGATCGCCTGCCTGAGGGCGTCTCTGGAATAACGTCGCGCAAAGCAAGGTACAAAAAACGTCAAGAAAAAGAAAAAGAAAAAGAAAAGAACTAATGATGTGGTAGTTTTGGATCTTCAAGAGAGAAACACAAGACGCAAAACGGCTCCTCCTCTTCACGTCTTGAGCAGCAAGGGACCAACAACAACAAGACTGGGGATCGGGCTATCATCAAACTCGCCGGGGTGCTGCTTGGCCAAGGAAGCGGTCCAGAGGGGGACCGCATGCTCCTTTGGACTTTGGAGCAACATCCAACAGGCCTACCTGTGCCCCGGCAGCTGCCGCAGCGCTGCAAAGGGACGGGGCCGCTCTTGTACGAAGTACCCCATTGGCTGACCCGTTGGTAAGTGGGTCAAATGATGCCGCCGCTCATCGCCGCTCATGGACGAAACTGTGGTCCCCAAGAAACCCAAGAAAAAACCAAGAAAAGGCCGGGACGTGCCGCAATCTGGATGTGGCTGGGCTTTAGGCTTCCTGCAAATCACGGTCGGGAGAGCGGCACCATCGATTCCTCTTGTTGGCAGTGTAATACCTCGGCATGGGTCGCTGTTCCAAACCGTCTCTTCCGTAGTTTCACGGACTTTTTTCCATGGTGTTGGAGAAAGTAAAAGGGTTGTCCAAACTGGTCGACGCACCAAGTCTGCGGATGCGATGCGCGAAGGCACTGTGGCACTGTCCCGCACCTGCAGCTCATTTGGTCAGATGCCCCGAACCCGCGCGCTAACAAGCGAAAGCTCGTCATCTTGCTGCATATGAGCCGGGGCTTCGACGCTACACTACTTCGTACTTCGTACATACATGTGCTTATTCGAGAATGGCGAGGCAAGCGATCACCTCGACGATTAGTCCCCCAACCTCGGAGAGTTTACACTACGAAGGATCCGTACACTGCTGGCAAATGACATTAGTTACAGAGAGGAAGTTATCAGAAGAACCCAGATTCAACGTCCGCCAGGAGCCATTCCGCATAATCCCTGTCCTCCCACCCCAATACCTAATAATACCCCTCGCAAAATCTAGAGATGCAGTGACAGAATTCCAATTTCTCAAGTCCGTACTCCGTACGTGTACGTGTATTTGTGTTTCGTTTGTCGATGGCTCAGCATGGCCAGCACCCGAGGCTTGGCAATGACATCACGGCCAGGCGGGCTATGGAAGTCAAATTCGTACGCTTACATAATGCTGGACTGGCGGTCGCGAAGTCACGTGCACGAGCCTCTTCAAGATGAGACCCACTCAGACTCTTGGCGCCCAGAGTCGAGCCAGCGCATTGCGTGGGCGGGCGCTGCCTTCGGGGGGAGCTCATTCATGGCCCGGATCCCGCCCACTCAGGCTACCGATGAAAGAAACGACTACCAACCGCCAATAACGCAGGTATCATCACCCAACCCTAAACCTGAATTTCGAGTCCTCCCCGTTTCGACAGCTGAACTCTGGATCATTGCGGCTTCCTAATCCCGCTGAACCAGGTCATCATTCGAGCCGTTCTCCATTTACCGTAAACTTGCCCCTCCACCCACGCAGACAACAAACAACACGCACCAACCGACGGCGGTTCCCCTCGAAACCCGGCCTTAGATTCGACGCCGTTACCATGGCGCTCGACAACTACTACCATAATAAGATTGAGGCGATGCAGCTGGAGATCCTCAAGGGTCAAGCTGTACTCCGTCGTCTCGAAGCCCAACGAAATGACTACAACTCGCGGGTACGTCTGCTTAGGGAAGAGCTGGGGCTCCTACAACAACCGGGCTCGTACGTCGGAGAGGTGGTCAAGGTTATGGGCACGAAGAAGGTCTTGGTTAAGGTACATCCGGAAGGGAAATATGGTATGTTCGACCATACCACGCGTCATCGCCGCCGCCTCTTCAGTTTGCCTAGCTAACATCATCCGTCTGCCTTACCTAACAGTTGTCGATGTTGCCGACTCGGTCGATGTCACGAAGCTCACCGTTGGCAAGCGGGTGACACTTCTTTCCGACTCATACAAGCTCGAGAAAATCCTCCCATCATCCGTTGATCCACTCGTCTCCCTCATGATGGTCGAGAAGGTACCCGACAGCACTTACGACATGATTGGTGGTTTGGATCAACAAATCAAGGAAATCAAGGAAGTCATTGAGCTCGGGCTCAAACATCCCGAGCTTTTCGAGTCGCTCGGAATCGCCCAACCCAAGGGCGTGCTCCTTTACGGCCCCCCCGGTACCGGGAAGACCCTTCTAGCCCGTGCCGTGGCCCATCACACCGACTGCAAGTTCATCCGAGTGTCGGGTTCTGAATTGGTGCAAAAGTATATTGGTGAGGGCAGTCGCATGGTGCGTGAGCTATTCGTGATGGCGCGCGAGCATGCGCCAAGCATCATCTTCATGGACGAGATTGACTCCATCGGCTCGTCCCGCGTTGAAGGCTCATCGGGTGGTGACTCCGAAGTCCAACGCACCATGCTAGAACTCCTAAACCAGCTCGATGGTTTCGAGCCCACAAAAAACATCAAGGTCATCATGGCCACAAACCGCCTCGATATCTTAGACCCCGCTCTCCTTCGGCCCGGGCGTATCGACCGCAAGATTGAGTTCCCACCACCGAGCGTTGAGGCCCGCGCCGATATCTTGCGCATTCACAGCCGCAAGATGAACCTGACCCGCGGCATCAACCTTACAAAGATTGCTGAGAAGATGAATGGGTGTTCCGGCGCAGAGCTCAAGGGCGTCTGTACCGAGGCCGGAATGTACGCCCTGCGCGAGCGCCGCGTCCACGTCACCCAAGAGGACTTTGAGCTTGCCACAGCCAAGATCCTGAACAAGCACGACGACAAGGAAGTATCGCTGGCCAAGCTCTGGCGCTAAGGGCTTGTTGGGGAGAAGTTATAAGTTTACTTCGCACAGGACCGTGGAAAGTGGAGATGCCTCTCTCTGATAGCAGAATCGAAGCAGGGTTTGTTCTCCTCCGGCCTTCCCATCGAAATTGAGCACGCTGGGGGTCAACAGTCGACGTAGGGTATGCACGGAGGCCTGCCCAGCTGGTGGGGGGGGCAACATTGCCCGCCGCCTTGCGTTATACACCATGGTACGGGCACACGTACAAAGTTGGCTCTGGGGATATTGTAGCGTAAAATTCCAAAACACCATCCCGTCATCCCATCCCCAAGCGCTCTCCGTCCATTATTATCGCCCCTCTGATGAGGGGACGTTTCGTTGCAAACAATTCTCAGACTTGTAATGGAAAGTGTACCCTACCCCCAACCATCACATCTCGGCTCACCGAAGATGACGTCGCCTACAAAGCCTCTTAGTAGAACCGGTGTGGGCCAATTCGGTGCCGAGGTACACTTCGCGACAATCCATCTCTGCATAGTGCCCGGTAATCATATGCCACAGGTCATGCGTGTATACTCGAGGTATCTCATGTATTGTATCATGTATCATGTATCATGTAACAACCCCTTCCTCTCTCTGTCCCCCCCCCCCCTTGTTTGTTTACCTCCCTCAGGACAATTCCACAGAATATGTACGTTGAGGTCCGGAAATCTTATGAAAACACCACTCCCTCCAGACCCCACTTCCCAAGCTTCAACCAGCTCTCAGCCACAGTGGTTTCTCTGAACGTCTCCAGCACCCTGCTTTGACTGTCCGAATAAATCCTAGGACGAGCAGGGTGCCCCGCCAGCTGCCCCTTTATTTGACATGCGGTCCCGTCCGTTTTTCTTACTACTCCGCCTCCCAAAACGGTCATACTTCGTCCTCCTCCTCCCAACATCTATAGCCCAAGCGGTAGATTCCCGTTGCTCCTCCCGTGTGCGCCGAGAATGCCGCCACCGTTGTCTTGTAGTCGTCGGATCCACTCCAACACTGTCTCGTAGCAGAGCACAAACTGCCGCAGGCTTTGGACCGTGCTCAGCCGCTGCCTGCGGAAGTCTTCGACGGTCTGCGCAATCAAGTCCATGTTGTCGTTGTCCAACCAGCTCACGTCAATGTCGAGCTGATCAGACGCGGCTGCCTTGTCCCCATTCATAATAACATCGCCATCACAATCGCGGGGCGCGGCCTTATTCGTGTTGGTTACGGGCCCCTGGCGCAGCATGTGCTGCCTCTGGCGCTTGAGCATGTCGATAACACTATCGACGGTACAGAACGCGCCGGTGCGGCCACACCCGGCAGAACAGTGTACGAGCATGGGCCGCACGCTCTCCTGTGCTTCGGGGCTTTGGTGCCAGCCTGGGCTTGGGCTTGTGTTCCCACCATCGGGGGTTCTCGAGTCGGATGTTGCCAAGACATGGTTGCCTGCAGAAACTCCGGGATGATCGCTGTTTCTACGTGATACGGAAGCCGAAGAGAGGGTAACCGAGACGTCTAGCGGAAGTGCCGAGCGCTGCATGGCGTTCGAGAGTTCAACAAGTGCGAGGAGATGGCTGGGCTGAGCCGGGGCGCCGAAATCAGGCCATGACGGGTAATGGAGCTGGGTAATTTCACGAATGGGCGAGAACGGGTGGGCCGCATGGCTCAGGGCAAACTTCCTGACGATAACGTAGGGTGTCTCGGGGGCAGCCGCCGTTTGTGAGGGGAACATGAACTGGTTCTGGGCCTCCTGCGGCACAGAGCCGAGAGTAGTCGCCGTGTTCGCCCGCCTCCGAGCCACCTCGGGGAGGGCCGGGTCCGGTGAAGAGGAATGTGGTGAACTCGTCATCCCATCACCCGTTGCCGTGGCAGGCGGGGATCTCTGCCTGTCAACATCCAGCGATATCCTCTTCTCAGACAGGCTCCGTAGCCTAATTGGACCGAAGTCGTTCCCTTTCCAGTACGGGTGGCATTTCAACTGGCCCCCTTCCGATTCGGCCGTCAGCATGACAATGACACGAACATCATTGTCCCAAACCACAGACCAGAAATCCTATGTTTCCACGCATTAGCCACCACTCACCACGCCAGGGAGAAGACCGGGAGGAGGGGGGGAGAGGGAGGGCATAACACCCCCTCAAAGCCAGATTCTTACCTCAAAGGTCGCCGGCAGCGGCCCCTGGCTAGCAATGTACCGCTTATGGCTACGAGTAGATTGAAGATAGCTGGCGTTGACGTAATCACACGCACCCTGCTGGCGACCGAGAAGCTTGACTCTTGCGTGTTCAAAAGGCAGGATGTCCTTGTATCTGTTCTTTCCTCCTTTCTCAATACCAGATAGCTGCACTTTAATTTTCCCGCCGTCGGCCTCATTATTGGCATCCGCGGGCTGGATTACTGAGTAGGCCTCACGCATGCGGGCCTGCTCGGCACGCTCAATATGCAGGAACCGGTCTGAGACCTTCTTTCCACGGTCACCAGACGCGGCGGCTTCTCGAAGCCACTGTGGCAGACTCGCTGGAGCGAGGCCCGGAGGAATGCCAACATCCATTTGACCGACACCGTCGACTAGGTCTTGATTTTGGCGGATATTGTTAAAGAAGGGACTCGGGCTGTGGTTTGCGTTAGGTAGAAGAACACCGCCAATCACTGGCGGCACGTTAGCCCGTAAACCACCGGAAACCGAAGCATGTCCAAGAGAGAGGCCCGGCGACGGCCCGCCCAAGGAACTGTCAACTAGATCGGGGAACTCGGTCGCAAAGGCGTTAAAACCACCGCGTAGGATACTAGCTGGTCCAATGTAACCCTCGTTGGTAAACTTTTTGATCATGTTTATACCGGAAACGGCATCACGTTGATCAGACGAGGCTGCGTCATAAACAACAATGTGGCCGACGTCGCGCCAGTTTGCGAACCTCTCCTGGTCACGGTCGGCTGAGAAGGTCTGCTGCAACTTCTGAAGGTTGAACGTGGCCCGCTTCAGCAGGGTCGTGGGTATGCATAGGTTTAAGGCACCGCGCACTCTCGACAGGCCGAACTGGGGCGAGACTCTGAGGTCCAGCACCAGGAGCTTATCCCCCAGATCGCCTTCCAGCAGAGCCTTCAACTCGGTAGGGGTTATCATGGAAGGGCCTAGTGCCCCAGCCGTCTGGAGTGGCGCGGCAGTGCCGGGCTTGCTGAGCGAAGCGGTCGATCGGATACTCGGTTGTGGCGAAGGCCGGCCGTTTGTGCCACTCACAGCAGTAAGATGTGTCGTCTCCGCCTGGCCGAGAGAGGGAAGGGGGGTTTGTAGTTTAAGCGGGGGGACCTCGTGTTTACTAGCGCCCGGGAAGAAAGACGGGTTTAGTGACAGAACGGAACTGCGCTTGAAGTCCCCGGGTACATACACGGAATCTCCTCGGGAGCTCTCAGCGTCTCGATCAAGCTTCCTGGTACCCGTAATGTCGCCCAGGTTTAGGTTGAAAGACTCGGCAACCTGGCGCGATGAGCGAGCTAGCGGGAAGTCAGATCCATCCCCCGCCTGGGTGTGTCGTTTGGGAGGACGTGGTCGTTGCAGGGCAGATGGTATCGAGGCTGGTGGGGTTTGGGCAGTGCCCGTCGAGCTGCTAAAATGGGAGGCCGAGAGGCTGAACGAGGCCCTGGCGCGGTTGGCATCGATCTGCCTGCGGAAGGCCTCAAAATCGGGGTTTGCGTCGAGGGGAAGTTGCTTTGGGATCGCGGCGCCAAATGACTTGACCGAAGAGGAAGGGGAACTCCAGTTTTCGCGCGGCACCAAACAAGAATCGCGTGGGTCCGCCCCCGGGTGGTCGACAGCCAACCCAAAGTAGTTGGGGCTTGGGGGCCTGGGCTCGTGGGTTGTGGTGGTCGCGCCCCGGTTGTTGAATCCAGGGGAGGGCTTTGGTGGGTGTGCTTGGCCGACAGAGGGCGGTGGCCGTGGTGAGGAAATCGGGGTTGTTGATGTTGTTGGCTTGTAGGGCTGTGAAGTAACCCGGGAGTGGGCGAGTCCTTGGGGGCTCACTGCTGACATTGGGACCGGCGTCTTCATGGTATAAAAAGAAGGCCGGTCATTTGTTCGGGGCTCTGGCGGCATAGCGGCGGCGGCTAGGTCAACGGGGCCGGGCACAGTTCGGCGCCTTTACGGGACACGGGTCCTGGTTCGAGCGGCGGCGGTAATCGCGGAAACGGGGTCGAGGAATGGCGTTTCATAAGAGCGCCATGTTGAGGCTTAAGTTCGACAGGCGGAGGGGGTTGGGGAGAGGGTACTCGACACACGTGATGCCGTTCCTTGTTCGTGGTTCGTGGTTCGTGGTTCGTAGTTCGTAGTTCGTTGCTCGTTGCCCGTTGCTCGTTGTATATCTATCGTCTGTAGTTGGGATAAAACCCCGGGCGAGGCGTCGAGCTAAGCGCGGCTTTCCAGGATCGTTTCGATGTCTAGTCCAAATTTGAGTATTGGAGAGCGAAGCCGGCTTCTTGAAACCGCGCCCACGTTGTGCTGAATCGGGTCTTGTGGGGTTGGTTTCGGGGCCGGGTGTGGAGCAATATGGAAGTAGGGCGGCGAGCGGAGACGGAACCCTTGTCAGTCAAGGTCGTCATCTACCAGTCGTGCTAGCAAGCCGGGTTGTCGCGGGGTCGGCTGGGACAGCAGCGGAGGCAGAAGGGATGTCTCAGAGCCCGAGCGGAAAATTCGCCAGGAAATGATGCCCTAACTAACTACCTAGTTAAAAACAACAAGGAGAGAAAACAGCAAATCTGTGGGCCTTGGCGTCCGTCCGTCAGCGCCGTGCTACTGGAGGAATAGACGCAGGATAACCTCGAGCAGCCGAGACGGGACGATGGGAATGGGTCTTCGATGGTAACTTTAGTAGCAATGGGTACGGCCTCCCGGTAGGTGGTGATGTGTCCAGCCGTGAACGTCAGATGAGATGATCACGAGCGACCGCCAAAAAGCGGTGGGGAAAATCCCTAAGAAAAGCTTTTGGGTGGTGAGGGGGATACCGGAAATCGTTTGCAAAAATGAGTCGAGTTTGGCGAGTCGAGACTCCAAGAACCAAAAGTTGGACGATGCGCTCCAAGCTGGTTGCGGGAATCACGGCAAAATCATAGTGGTCTGTGGGGGCATGTCGTGGGCGTGCAGGTGGTCCCTGAACCCAGCCGGCGTCCTGAATGGGCGGCGAAAACAAAAAGAGGGGCAGCGATGTGCGAGGTTGATGTCAAGATGCGCAGGGGAGTTGGTTCTGAAGGGTTCCAGCCTTCTGAGAAAGGGAATGATCCGTCCTGCGGGGTCCAGAACGGAAAGCGTGGCCCTCGCGGCTTCCATTTGTTGCAACAAAGGTTTGGATGCTCGAGATCCGCCTCCGAGGCCATGGCAGCCCTGACACGCCTGGCCCACACTGACCTCACCAGCGGGCCGCGAAGGTCCGGGTATAAGTAACGTTGGCTTGGCACGCTTGGTTGCAAAGTAGGAGGCACGGGAGGTTAGCACGTTAGGTACGAAAACTTTGTTTCGATGCAGGCTTACCATTGCCGGCTTCCAGTTTCGATTCCACATGAAAAACAAGACAGAAACGATGCTCGCTCCCATACAAAACACCTCGTACATATAGCGATGGGGTACCGTAATCCATTCGTTGATCGGTATTAGTACTGCATGTTTGTCCCCAACTCAGTACTCCATAAAATTGCATCGGGACGTCTCCTCGGAAGCGACCTACACTAGACCCGAGAATGGCCCAAGTAGGCCCTACGTATCAATCAGTGTTGTCGTCATAACGTTAGCCTGCCAGGTTGGCCCGTCCCCGTCCTCATGGACTCTCTTGGGGCATCAGAAGGCCTTCGAAAGGTCCGCACGGAGTCAAATCCCGCGCTCTAGTATCCATTCTAAGCGAACGTTAACCATAGGTTCTTGTTCTTATCTAAGTACTTGGGACGAACCGGCATGAAAACAACCCCACTTTCTCCCCATTCCTCCCAGTCGTTTATTTTCTCTTCTAAATCGTCTCGTGGAGTATCCAAGACGATGAGAGGGGGATCGCACTCTTACGTGTGTGGCTGAAGATCCTGGCGGGGAAACTTTGGCAAGCATCCATTTTCGAGACAAGCCTCGCTAAATTGCACTCATCCGTGTCCCTACACGTCCTCGCTGGAAACATAGTTGGTAACTCGAGTCAGGCACGGTCTTAAATTCTGGTGCGTCGTATGTTAACTAGTATCACAGGACGTACATCCATGGCAGGCCTTGGAAGATCGCCCGTTCGAGAACGCCCAAGACCGTCCCACCCAATCTGCAGTTCTTTCTTCATTGGGAATGCTGCTCACCAGTTGGCCTTGATCGGTTTCGGGTCCCACCGGACCACAAATCCCACTTCCGTCAAGAGTAATGGGCGGCCAAGGCGGCTTCAACTGCGTTTCGATCGGAGTGGAGGTCCGCGGCCTTGGGATATCCACCCCGAAACCCGGGCCGCTGCGGAGGAGTGGGAAAACGAAATCGTAGTATACATAGGTAGTATGCTTTTTTTGCCCAAATGCTTATGCTGCGTCGCCACGCTAACGTAACCGCAAGTACCCCATGATATCGCATTTCGCAGACGCAATCAATACAAGAGAACGGGGGGTAATTGGAACACCTCGCCTCATACCCTGTGCTCGTAATGACGGCGCAAAGGCTCCGGCCCTCCAACGTGCCAGCCATCACGAGACAGCGAGAAAGAGCGACAGTGGGAAACTCCCTACAAAGAACGAGGGGGCCGGCCACCATCTCACCTAGCCCTTAGAAAACACCACAGACTGTCGAACCATCTTGCCAAGCCCAAGACTGGGCGCCGTGGAGGCCACGCTACCGTAATGCAAAGACTGCAGGTTGCTTTTCAAAGCCCTCTCCCCTCCCCAAAATGCCGGGGCCATCAAGTCAGATACAACATACTTCATACTTAAGCATTTAAGTGATCGATCGAAAGTAGAGGTTGAGAAAAACTGGAAGGAGAAAAGGGCAAATATGCAATCAGGATAACCCAGGACTGCCGCCAATCTGTTGCCCTAGTTACAAACGTATATAGAGGTCCATGCAATCGATCCTCCACTCCCTCCTCCCCAACAAACTCCGTAGCCACTCTAGCCCAAGACCTGTCCATTCGATCCTCGCCCCCGTTATCCGCTCAGCGGCAGCAGTAGCCAGTGTCCCAGCAGTCATATTGAGCATCTCAGCCACCACCGTAGTGGCCGTGGCGCCACCACGTACAGACGCGGCGAGGTTATTCGGGGCCGCGCTGGCTTCGGTATCCGGTGCCGCAACGGCGGGCAGGTATATATAGCTCGCCGGGGGTAGTGATTGGAACCAATTACTGCCGAGATCGAGGAAGCACCGGTCGGACCAGTTGCACGATGTGAGGAAAAGAATAATTAGGAGAAATGAGCAGTAAAAACATGGCCTGTTGAGAAAGTACGTGCACAGGAAGAAGAGGAAGATAAAGGCGGGCGATGCGTTTGTCGGGATAAACAGGAGGGGAAGCCAACTATGTCGGCGCAAGCCTGGTTAGCATCTTGACGGACATGGATGGCTCGCGAGCAAGTATTGACGGTAAACGTCGACCTTACCTGCGAAGACAAAACATTGCGGAACTCCCGACCCGGCAGTCCTAGGTCAGTCGCCCACACCACCTCCCTTCAATGATCCTCCTCCAACGGCGGGGCAAGGTATATGAGCCTGTGTAGGCACGCAAAAACCATTCAATGTAACAGCCGCTTGACCCACGCGGGCGATTTGTGGGAATCAAGTGTAAGGTCGGTTCGAGGAGTCGTTACGGTTGTCGGTCCGGGTTGGAAAGTGTGCAATCAAATTGTGCGCCTAGGGAGAGTGTGGCAAGGGAACGGATAATACCCAGTGCTAGCGAAATTGGTCGACCGTCAAGGCTTCGTTGAACTTCTCGAAGATTTCTGCCCCCGTGGCAGCCGCGGACGTGGAATGTGGAATTGATTACGGGGCCTTTGCCGTTAAGTTTTCGATGTTGAAGGTTGGCGAGACAAGGCGAGACAAGGCCGATGCTGCCCCCGGGTTTCTTCAACTGGTGGAATTGAATGCTGACATAATACGTTAAGTACGTTATCCACCCAGGCCTTAAATTATTTTGGCTGCCCGGACCTCTGGTCCCCATGACGCGTGCAAAGCGGCCCGGAGATACCCTTGAAGACGGCCCGCTCCTGCCTTGAACTTACATAGTCCTATGTAGTTTTCGTAAAATGATTTTATCTTCCTCTCTGTGGAGATTGTTTCCGCATGTCACTGTCGTGCCGGGCGAAAAAAAAAAAAAAAAAAAAGACAGCCTAGTGGATAGATGTACAACAGAACAACCGGGCTTACAGTTCAAGATAACAAACCTCTTCACATCCAAGGCGGGACTTCTACCCGGTGCCCCCCCTCGAGATGATGCACCTTCACCGACGCGTCTTTCAACCATCAGCCATCACGCAACGGCTAGAAGAAGTGATTGGGCCACTCGCTCCTCTTTGACTCATGCGGCAAATTCCTGCTCTCTGGTGACTGGTGACAAGAGATTTCGCGGCAGATACCAACTGCTCGTCAGCCCTGTTCTATTAAATGTTTTGTGTGGATGCTCCCACTTTCCCACCTTCCGTTGCCCTCTGTTTGTCGGTTCACGGCGGTTTGCAGCTCTTTCCCACTGATTGTGCCCATCCCATTGGGCTCCGCTCCGCCCTGCCCCACGACTTGCCCAGTGTTCCCTCACGCCACAGCGACGGACACGTGTAGCCGCTAAGCGGGCCGCACGGGCCACCGTTTGCTTCCCCAGCCGCCTCGACCGCCGCCGATATATTTTTCAGAGGCACGCATCACATCCACCTCCAAACAAGCAAATCGGACTAGGGAAATCACAACCATCGCCCCTTTGGAGCACAACATCCGTGCTTTTCCTGGCCAAACTCGCCGGCGCCTTCTGCTTGCTGGAAACGCAGCAGAGCCGCCACATGCGGGTTGGATTCTCCGCTTTTTTTCGCTCTCTCTAAAAGGTTCCCTTCCAAGTTGCGTGACCTGGGTGCATTGCTTGGGCGGTTCGTTTGGGCGCGCAGTCGATCATTGGTAAAGTCGGTTCTCACCCAAAGAAAACTTGGGGTTTTTCTTCCTTCCACCTCAACCCCATTCATTCCCTCATCGTCAGGCTCCGTCATTTCTCTTCTGTGCCCGGCTTTCCTGCTTCGCTGCAGCAACTAACCGTCGGTGCATTGCAGAACGTCCAAGCCACCCGTGAAGCACGACGACCATGTCGAACTACGGCATGTCTGGCGGCGGCGGTTCCGGCGATTCGGAGCACGACCCAAAGTTTGAGTCGCTCCTCGCTCAGCTGCGACTCCAGTCGTCGCCCAGCCCCGGCCCTGGCGCCGACTCCGGCCCGGAATATCCTTCGCAATTCAACTATCACCACGGTCACCAGTCCTACTACGGCCCCCAGTCCAATTCCGATTCGCCCAATCTCCCCAATCACGGCCAAGGGGCCACGGACTCACCCGCATTCCTGCCTGAGGCTCCCACACCACCCGTCGGCTTCGGCCACTCGCAGTTTCCGCCGGGCATGATGAACCAAATCGGCGCTGCTGCCCGCAGTGGTGCTGGAGATGGCCGCACCGCGCATCTGCTCAACCTCCTCAAGTTTAGTGGACAAAACGGCTCTGCGAGCCAGCAGCAGCAGCAACAGCAGCAGCAGCAGCAGCATCAGCAACACTCGCAGCACTCGCAGCACCACTCGCAGCAACACCAGCAGCACCACTCCTCCCCTCGGGAGCAATCCATAAACTTTCCTCCCGCACCGATTGCGCCGCCTGTCATTCACGCGCCCGCTCCCGCTGCAGCCGATCCCACGGGCCTCCTTGCAGCCCTAATGAAGGGTAACCTACAGCCCGAGCCCGTGAAACCCGAGCCCAGCCCTCCGTCTTGGAACCAAGCCTCGCCTCCCTCAGGTACACAACAATACCTGCTCAACTTACTTAATCGTCCGAAGCCAAGCCAGCACGAGGCGGCCGATCCCAGCGAGCCGAGCCTCCTCACACCACCGCCCACTTCCGATCATGTAAAGGACGACGAAAGCTCGCATGGTGGCCGCTCCGCTGAACCGACCCTCGTGGATACCCTGGCCTCGCGCTCTGAGTTTGATTTTGAGTCCAAGAACGTCGAATCCCCACCCCCCAAGTTTGACTCCACGCCGCTTTCGCAGCACTCACAGCCCTCGCAACAGTCGCATCAGTCCAACCCGAGACAGGCAAACAGCCTTGGCTACAGCGACCACTACGATCGCTTATCCGGATCCTCCCCGATCCATCGAACTCCGAAATCGTCGACCACGCCTGGCGCTTCTGGCTCGACCGCAGGTGCCGCTCGTCCTGCGCCAGCTCCGACCCAAATCTTGAAGAGGTCAGACACCAATCAGCCCCACGATTCGGCTCGACCTTTCAACGACCGAGACGACCGAGACATCCCTGGTTCCCCGCCGTCGCAGGTTCATGACAACACCTGGCACAGCGCCGAACGCAATGTCCCTCCTGCCTTGTCTCACGGGGCTGATACGTCTCCTAGCGCCACCCAGAAGGAGAGTGTGGCAGACGCCGTCAGTGGACTCGCGGAGCAGGCCGATCGGGAGGCCCGAGATGCCCTTGCGCGTGCCGAACAGGAGCAGGCGGAGGCTAAGGCTTCCCGTGGCTTGGACCCGACAGACATCGCCGAAACGGCCGAGGTATCTCATTCGGCCTCCTCAATCGTCGCCAAGCCCGAGCGCAACCAGGCGGAAGAAGAGAGATCTTTCCCCGACTCGAGTTTCGTTCAGGACTTTGCCCAAGACGCCCGAGATAGTGCAGACGACTCGGCCGCGGCCCCTCCGCAGGGCCTCGTGGCCGACAGCTGGGAAAGCGCCGAGGCCGAGGAAATTGTAGTGATCGAGGAAACGGCCGCGCCCGTCAAGGTCTACAACTTCCCCATGAAGCCGTGGATCACGATCAGCCTGCAAGACACGGATGAAACCCGACCTGTTTTCCGCGAGGAGGCCATTCTCGACATTGCTCGCCTCAAGAAGGACTTTGATCAGATCGACCGTAACCTCGTTTCTGCTTCCGAAACCTACATGGCCTATGCCATGTCCAAGGCCGGCGGCCTGCGTGTCATTAGACAGGAAGACGGTAAGGACGCCAAGCTTTTCACCGACACAAAGGACCGCATCTTCAATGTAAGCATCTGCAACTCGTCCTCTGAGGACCACCCCAAGGAGACCATCATTGGCACTGGGGTGAACGGGACCGTCTACTGGGTGCAGCTCAAGAACGGCGATCGGGATCACTTGGAGGACGCGCACCCGGAACAGTACGGCTTTGCGCTGCCCCCAATTTCGTCGCAAGAGGGCGGCGATGCGCCTGGCGGTGTTCTCAAGACGCGTGCTCGGCCCTCCGCCATGCATCCCGATTTCTTCGCCGTCGGCCGCGGCAAGTCGATCAACATCATCTGGCCGTCATTTGTGTTTGAGAACGACCTGTTCAAGAATGGCCACGACCGCATCGTCGACACCGAGAAACTTCTGAAGCAATGCTCGTTGAAGATCAACACCGGTAAGGCTGGTAAGGACTTCACTTTCAGCCAGGACGATACTCTCGTTGTCTCGCTCGACAAGTCTGGACGCGTCAAGTTCTGGGACGTCCGTGACCTGACCGCGGTCAAGGAGGGCTCGGATCCCCTTCACCCCACGCCCGCGCAGGCGTCGCTTGAGATCAAGGAGCCCCTGATGACCCTCACCACCACCCCCGAGGGCGAGAAGGCGTGGCCCACCTCCGTGTTGCTGCTGGATAAGTTCCGACCGTACCAGAAGCGTGCCGCCCTGAGGTACATGATCGTGGGGATGAAGCAGAACCACACCCTCCAGCTTTGGGATCTGGCTCTGGGCAAGCCGGTGCAGGAGTTCAACTTCCCGCACAACAAGGAGTCCGATGCCGTGTGCAGCGTCATGTACCACGCTCCCTCCAGCATGATCATCGTCGGCCACCCGACTCGCAACTCAATCTACTTCCTCCATCTCTCGGCGCCTAAGTACACGCTGAAGAACCTTTCGCAAGTCGACTACATCCAACGGCTGGTCGCACAGGACTCATCCATCCCACAGCCGGAGTCTACTGCCGTGATTAGTGGCATTCGGGAGTACTCCTTCGCGAACAAGGGCATCCTTCGCAGCCTCAACATCCTAGAGAACCCTGCGGCGTCCAGCGACGGGGACGAGCCGACGCTGTTTGAGCTCTACGCCATGCACTCCAAGGGCGTCACCTGCTTGTTCATTAAGCACTCCGAGCTGGGCTGGACCAAGGACAACAAAGTCATCGCTCCTGCCGACGCCGTGGAGGCCGGGCTCGCCAAGATCTCGAAGCTGGTAGCCCCGCCGCCTCCCCAGCCGGCCGAGACGCAAAATGCTGCTGTCCCGAGCGAGAGCGCTGCCGCCGCTCCTCAGATCCGGATTGCCACGCGCGGTGCTAAGGACGCCGGCCTCAAAGCTGTATCACCCCAAGGAGACAACAAAAAGGCATCGGAGTTGGTGGCGCTGCCGAAACCTGACCGCAAGGACGATGCCGAACTCCCCGCGCCTGCGCCGGAAAAGAACGAGAAGAAGGGACGGAAAAAGAAGAGTGAACGTACGGGCGCTGGGGCCAGCGACCATCTTGCGGCCACCAATGGCGCTGTGGAAACCGCTCGCGCTTCCTCACAGGGCAAGACCAACAACAAAAGTTCTCGCGCGGCCGATTCCTCTTCTTCCGCAGACGCGGCACTCGCACCCAACCCGGCCTTCCAGGAACAGCTCGACGCCGTGGTCGCTAAAATGGAGTCGCGCATTATTTCCAACCTATCCGGTCGCTTTGACGCCGTCTTCAATGAGACTTTGAAGCAGATGCAGAGCTTCCACGAAAATCGCGACTCAGCCTTCTCGACCAGCCAGTCAACGCTTCTGCAGCTGGTGGCCGATGTACTGAACGATAACACCGAGGCGGTCCTCAAGAACTTGATCATTACCCAGATCAATAACAATGTCATTCCATCGGTTCGCAACGCCATCGACAAGTCGGTGTCCGAGCAGTTGGGCGCAAAGTCGGCCGCTCAAGTCAGCGCTGTGCAAAAGGAAATCCAACGCCTCTTGCCCAACGCCATCAACCAGGCCATGCAACGGCCTGACGTCACCAAGCCGGTTTCCGACAGGGTCTCGCAAAGCGTCAACTCACAGATCGATTCGCAGATCGCTAGGACCCTCAACACGCTCACGCCTGTCATCGCCAAGTCGACGGCTCAGACCGTGCACCAGCGTATCATTGAGGACGTCGGCGGTCGCATCAGCCAGGCCTTTGAGCAGCTCGATGAACGGCGTCGGAATGAAGATGCCAAGTTTGACCGTCTGATTGCACAGACTCAGGACCTCGCCAGCGCCATTTCTTCCCTGGCCGCTTCCCAGGCACAGATGCAACAGGAACTTGCGGCCCTCAAGCAGCAAGTTCACGATCAGGGTCGCGAGAAGGCGCCTTCTGCCGTCGACGAGCATTTGCGCGGCCTCGGTGCTTCCCACGGTGGCGCTGTCGGCTCCCATGGCCCGCCCAGCACCTCTTCCCGAGAGCTGGTCAGCTACGGCCCGCAACATCACCAACACCAGCACCAGTCGCCTGCTGCGCATTCTCAATCTGGGCAGGTGCCTTACTCTCACCAGCACCAGCATCAGCATCAGCATCAATCGCAGCCGCAGCCGCAGCCGGCGCAGCAACAGCAGCACCAGCTTCCGCACCAGCAGCAGCATCAGCATCAGTCCCAAACCCAATATGGCGATCACGACGGCCAGGTGGTATACGCGCCGCTGAGCCGGGAGGAGCGCCAAAAGGCCGAGCTTGACAATCTAGTGGAGGCCATCGAAGGTTTAATGCGTGCTTCCAACTACGACGAGGCAATGCTCCGCTGGCTCCAATCGGGCGACCATGCGGAAGAGGTTTTCCAGCAGGTACTTTCCAATTACAACCCCATCTTTGTCCAGGACCTGCAGCCGCTGCTTTTGCTGTCAGTCGGTGCGACTGTCTCGGTCAACTTGAGCCGGAATACGCAGAAACTCATCAAGAAGATCAACCTCTTGGAGGTCGTCATTTACTCATTCAACCAGAACGTTGCCAGCTTGGTATGTCCCCTCCCCCCCGCTCTCCCTCTTCTTCCCTCTCCTATCCTCCCTACGAAATATGCTGCATGCATGAGCTGACCCGTGGTTGGTGTTATGTTCTAGGATGAGCAAGTCCGTGAGGTGACCCCCAAAATCATGACGCTCCTAAAGACCCGTATCGATCAACTCCTTAGCGAGATCAACCGGATTGCGCCCCATGACCAGTCGGTCAAAACGCTCTCCAGCATGAGCTCGATCGCAGGGCGGGTTGCTGAGAATGCCCAACTCCGGCACGGGTCTATGCACGGCCCTGGTCACATAGGTGCCTCTTACTAAGGGGTGGGTGTGTATATGGTGGATAACACGATGCTAGGGGTGAGGCAGATCTGACACTCGATTCACGAGCATGTTGTTTTGTTTTTTGGCGACGAGACCTATAAGCCCGAAGGCTTTTAGGACCGAGGGTCAAGGAACCTAGCGTCGTTTGATACCGGGGGTCAGCAACGCGATGGTTTTCTCGGGCTGTTTGATGGAGAAAACGAGGCGGCGTGAGCGAATCATTAGGATGGTGCGGTTCTCTTTTCGTATCTCTTCTTTCTCTCGATGGGCATATCTATGTTCTACCCGTTTGTGGTGAGGGTAGCTTGTGATGGTTCTGCCAGCGGTCACGGGACGGAGCAAGGAGTTGTTTGGGGACTATTCTGCCACATTGTGTACAAATAATTTAAATCTGCTTTACTTTTCGGCACTTGATACGTCACCCCCCTTGTCATTCGTCTAGAGTGCTCTACATAGAGGCGATGCGGCGAGACCTAGAGCGCGAACTAATCATGGCCAAACTAGGAACCGGAGTGGCCGTCAGTGATGGTTCTCAGTCGTAGAAGGAGCTCAGTCGTAGAAGGAGCTGCGGGTCAGCATGATGAGAATTGTGCGATTTGAACTAAGCAGGGCGACAAAGACATGTGCGATTCTTCCCTGGGCATACATAAGGCCGACCCGACCTGGAACTCGGATACAACTACCTAATTAGGTACCCTAATATGAGACAAAGGATGGAAGCCGCTCTTATTTACCGAGACAGTGGCTAGCTCCTTAACCGTTCCTCGGTCCTAATCAGGCAGACTGACGGGCGAGGCAGGCTAGGCAAGATGCGTGGTCGATCAGTACGGTCTCTCCTTTTAGTAAGAAAAGGAAAACCACAATAAAAGCCCAGGGCTGCAGTTTATCGAACTGTGGTTATTTACACACATTCCACTACCATCAGCGCTGTTTAGTTCCACGACTAACCTTGTCCAATCACCCGGACCTAGCACCAGCGCTCAGAGATAGACCCAGGGGTGTAACACAACGAACAGGTAAGGTAATACCTAGTATCCGCCCCCCCCCAATCTGTGCATGAACAGTTTCTTGTAGGCGCTTTGGAAATCACCAAACCTGGACAGTTGTTAATTTTTGATAAGAGTGGTGCTCGACTCCTCGTTCTCCCCATTTCCTCGATCCTTGAGATTGGACCTCCGGCACTGAAGAGTAAACACAAACTGCAAGACGCGTATGGATCTTGTCAATCGTAAAGAGGTATCGGAAAAGCTGGGAGGTGGTAGTATAAGCTTCTGTGTATTGGTGATAACGGCGAGAAAACGGTCTCCGACTTTCCGCTGTCTGGATCGGTTGAAGGGAACGAGAAGGTCAGGTCAAGAAGCAGGCCGCCATCAATGCCACTCCAAGCTATATATGGTGATAACGAGGAGAACGCCCAGCTCAAAATGAATATGGGGATAATTACCATGTGCGAATGGCCAGGTTTCCAGGATGACGATGGGTACTAAGAGAATTACCCGCCGTGCCAGAGGCAAGTAAAAACTTGCCAAGGGCGTTGGATTGGGTATCAATCAAGGTGTTCAGGGTGAAGAACCTAATTAACGGAGCCCGTAGTTGCGAGACGATAGTAATAAGTTATGATATAAGATGATCGAGGCTCGGAATCCCCTGCCCGTAAGCGTGATTCTCAAGAAACATGGCGCTCACCTCGACACGTCGGATAGTGTGTCCCTTAAGTACCCCTCTGTAGAGCTATTCGTTGGCTGGGCGACATGGTGGCCAAGCACCCCTCCCTAATGGCAGGTAGGGGTGGAGAGGAGGACAAGACTGGAAAGGAGTAGAGGAAGGAGAAGTAGGATGTAGACTCGGCATACGCGCTTGGCCTGTAATTGCCTGCTACTCCTGCTTATCCGGCTCCCAGACGAGCTGGGCTTCTGGGAATCCACAACAGCAAGCGTCTCGTGCCGTTCCAGCTGATCTAGACATTTTTCCCAGAGAAGTTGACGCTGATCACTTGAGCTAGTAACTGCGAGCTGATGATGTGTAGAACCATGCCACCACCGATCAAATCGACCTCTCACTGGATAGTTTTAGGTGCTCCGGTTCGGGGGCAAGGAATTCATGTGGAATGACTACTCCGTAACGATTAGCGCATTCATAAGCAACCGCCCCGCGACAGAGGTAGTAGCGTACCTGATCGAGTTCCACAAGACCACGGCCGACTTGCACTCCAGGCTGACGGACGGCGGGAGACGGGTATTGGTACCAGGACCCAAAGTATGCGCGCTACGCCGGCATCGCCATCTAGGCGCCTGGGAAACCATCCGTTTCTACGAAAACATAGAGGGGGTTGTCGGGGGCTCCCCCACGTAGTGGGCTGTAACAAGCAGGCGATACTGGGACTAGAGGTTGAAAAGCCGGCTCTCATGTTTATACTGCTACTGATCGAGGGGCACGCTCCCAAGAACTAGCTAGGTATATTGCCTTATGTCGAGCAAGTCACAATACGGCAGAACAATGAGGTATATAGGCATCTAGTGTACAATAAATAGTGTATCGTTCGTAGGGAGCCGGGTCAGCCATGGAGAAGATAGCAACACCGCAGAGCACCCGCAGAAGCTCACAACGGTCTAGGAGATGATTTCAGTCAAAGGTGAGTAAGCCCCAGGTGGCTCAGAGGCCACCTACCTTGAGGTGTCGCATTATTACATCCCAGTGTAGTATTTAGCAGACTTAGGAATGATGAGAGGGTTAGGCCTTATAGTGCTCCTCAGCGAGCCTCCTAGTATAGGCAAGGCCTTGACGGCTACAGCCGTGGCCGACCAAACACAACAGCCGCTGTCCTGCCCCCAGGCTGAGGACCCGGGTATCAACAAATCGCTACTTTAGAAAGATCAGAAGGTGGTTCATTTAGCGACCGACGAGAATGCCGTAGTTCTGCTAGACGAGACCAAGGTATCTGTACCTTCGCGGCACACGCGGGACATTGTATGCAACAATCTCGTGGCTATCACCTTACACGGGTCCGGGTTCTTTCACGGCATCTTCCTTGCCCCCATCCTGTAATTATAGTACCATCGACCACAGCCGCATCGCCTTGGACCTCCTGACACCCGAGGCCCGCGCTCTGATGTAACATAAGTTTTCGAACCGATCACTACTGGTGCCTGTACCCATCGTAGCTGTGTCACCGTCCACAATAATTGGACGGAGAAGACGGTATTACCCCGCGAGGGGGCGAGGGAGGTGGACGATTGTCCGGTCGGTGAGGAGACCAACGAGTCTAATGTATGGTAACTCAACGGGCATAGGACCAAGACAACAAAATCTGGTGTGATCACGGGGGATATGTGCTCATCCTCACACGGCTAGCAAGCGGTTTCAAGGTAACGAGCCCTGAGGCGAGCGAGTGTCTTCACTTGGGGAAACATTGTTCTTTGTCTGACTAGTAAGTGAGTAAGTATACTGGAAGCAGAATGATTTTATTCGAGGAATATACCTTAGTTATGTACTCCAGCCTAAATCGCTTCTATAGTTGTAGTAGAAAAGCGAAATCTATCTCACAGTGAAATTCATGGACAGCAGGGTATTATACAGTATCCTACTGTCAGAGACAACTAACTAAGAACTGAGCTTGTGAGTTAATGGTTAGAAAGATATTAAAGTTCACAAAGGAAGAAGAAACAAGGCTAAATCGTTAATGTAATATAATCAATTCTTAGCTAGTTATATAAACTTATGCCCAGATATTAATATCTATAAAAGCTTTAGACCGCCCTACAAAAACAGGGCTAAAACTGACGAAACTACTACCAGACAGTTGGGCTCAAAAAGCTCTAAATAACGATACTAGATAACTAGACGCAAGTTATACTATAGCTATACTATGCAATATAATTAGGAGCGTATCTATAGACGTTAACTATATATTGGATTTTGAACTACTAAACTACTAAGTCCACAAAAGGGTCTCTAAAATAATACTATACTAAACTTATTATAAAGCCCTTTAAAGGCCTAGCTTCAAAGGTTATTGAGATAAAAAGAAAGTATAGACTTTATTAAATATATTAGTAGATTTAGTATCTAAAGTAAGTTAAAGAAAGGCCTAAGGTTTTATAAAAGACTTGATTAACCTATTTATAGGCTAAAGATAAAATAGCTAGGTTAGAGAAGGAGCTTTGGAAGGGGTTATCATTATTAAGATATAGAAGATAATTATAAAGATAGTTCAAAGGAGAATTTAACATATAGTATAAACTATTATAAAGCTAAACAAAGGAGTTATATGAAGTTAATTATCGATAATAGTAATAATAAAGGTTAGATTAGACTTATAGGCCTAATTTGTAACGGAACGAACATATAACCAGGGCAGTGCCTGTGGAAATCTAGCAATTGTTATAAAGTGCTTTTGGTAGTTATAGAACTAAAATTAACACAAAGGTTATACCTACCTATAGAAACCTTTTATAGCCCCCCAAATAGAGTAGAAAGTGAGGTAGGCCTAGTAAAAATTCTATATTATAACTACTCTATATACCTTATATTCTCTATAGATTCCCTATCTATATATAGTTAGTTTAGATATCTATAGGTAGCTAATATTAGATAATAATATAATTTAGTAGATATCCTAAGATATATTATTGATCTAGGCTATTATATTACCCCTCGCTATAGGGTATAGGTTATATCCTTATAACTACTTTATCCTCTATCTTATACCTATAGATCTAATCTTTCTTATATTCTCTAAGAACTTATCCTCCTTATGGCTCTTTATATCTAGATCTTTATACGATACCATTACCTATTATATTAACCTTTATAAAGGTCTTGCTATAGCTAGGTATTTATAGTAAGAGTTTTATAATACTTATAGTAAATTTCTAAAATATAATATCAGATATTAAATAGGATCTTTATCCTACTTCTACTATTTTACCTCATATTATAATTTTCCCCTATTTAACTATAATACTATAATCTCCGCTACTCTAAACTTTAGTTCTCAA